ATATATATAGATATATATAGATATATATAGATATAGCATATATAGCATATAGAGCAGTACAGTACAATATTCACAAAAAAGGAAGAAGTACAAGGAAAGAGAGACAACCACGAGATTACGAGCATAGCTAAAAGATGGAATCACAGAAGGAAAAAGAGAGAGAGAGATGTTTTACGTACACGATGCACCAAAGAAAAAGAGACTGAGCTGAAAAGGAAGAAGAAGAATTTGTTATCACGGAGGAGCCGGTGAGGATCTCACTTTTGGAGAATGGCGTTCCAGAGAAGACAGAGAAAATTTGTAGAAAATAACAGGAACACGTTGATCGAGTGTTGTTAAATACCCTCGAGCATTTATGTCAGTCCCGTTGTTGTTTCAGTCATTTAGCGAAATTTTGGAAGGATGATAAAATTGTCGATGGAAAAGAGACGGAGTGAAGGGGAGGAGCGGGAGAGAGAGCAGAAATTCACAGGCGACCGGCTCGAATTGTGAAAGATTTCTTTGGACGACAGTGGTTCGATCGTAAGATTTGTAGAAGGACAAAGGGATAGCGGAGGGGAATGGTAAATCACGACGTGGTAGTTACTCACCGATAACCTCTTTGAGCTCGTAGTCGTCCTTGGTGTTCGGCCAGCCTTGCACGACCGCGGTTGAGCTCGCAGACGCCATTTTGTTAGCCAGTGCCGTGCCAAGGCGCGCGTGCTTGCTGGCAGCTCTGGCGCCCCTATGGAATAACGAGGCGCCGCCTCCGCTTTCGGCTGCGAGTTTTCCACCACCACTGACCCGAGTGGCACGCGCCGCCGCCTGAGCTCTGAACCCACCGCTGACGATACTACTACTACCACTACTTTTCTTCCTATTGTTGTTGTTGTTGTTGTTGTTATTGTTGTTATTGTTGTTGAAAAGAACGCTCGATAAGACGGTCGAAAGGACTCGTTGCGAGTCCGTTGCCTGCGACTCTTCTTCGCTGGTCGACGTGGATAATTTAGTAGGAGTCGTCGAATGAAGGGATCTTTGTCGAAATATTCCAGAGGGACAGGACGGCAGGACGTCCGGCGAGATTTTCCTGTTGAAAATGTTCATTCGCGCTCTGATATCGTTTGCGCAATCATGTATGCAAAGATAAAGGATTCAAACAGATTATCTTTATGCGTTGAAACCGAACAAATGTTGTCTTTTATGCTTTTAGGAAGATAAGGCTTACGATTGCTTCGTCGTTTATCGAATAAAGACTTCATTACAAATGTCCCATTAATATATTCCCTGAAATTCTTCTCTTAGATTTATTTTCCCTAAATACATATTAGTTCTTATATCCTTTTACGATAACATTTTGTTTTTAGCAAAGAAAAGCGCGTAGAAAAAAACATTTATCGAGCAGCAATTACGCGTAATTGCGAGAAACAAATGCGCCCTACACTAAACTCGTTTCGATTCATTGAAACGATTGAGATTTTTCAGGGAACCGAATCATCGACGGTGTCAGCGCGTATGCCTAAATTAATTGTACACGCAAACAAACGGTTGCGTATCATTTATTCGGGATCAATCAAATCATATATGATTACGCCTTGTAACCGTTTCAAAAGAATTTCTTTTTAATTGATCATTTTAATAAAACGTTGTTAAAGGATTCTCAAATAACGAAGGGGAACGAAACATTAGAGCAACTTTCGATTCGAATAAAAACAAGATGTTCCAACTTACGCACGAATCGATTCTGTTTCTCTCTCTCTTTCTCTCTTTCTCTCTCTCTCCCTTTCCTTTTTTTCGTATTCTTGTTTTACAAGAAGATATTTATCAGACTCAAGTACCGCAGTCTGGCGCGTTCGATCGAATACTAGTGCGCATTCGTTCTTTCGGTAAAACTCTTTGCGTCGTACGACTAATAATCCTACTCCGTCTGTCAAACTTTATCAAGAATCCCGCCACTATTCTTGGCCCCATGTTATTGGCTATGACACAGTGCACCGTTTATTTTGACAGCGCGCTATTGGTCACGAAGTGCAATCGTTAATCGTTTTGCCTTCAAAATCGTATGTACATGTTTTGAATATGAGAAAAAAACAAGAACAAATAAATCTATAATTACTTCCTGATATATATAATTGAGAATATGAGATATAAACAAATGGTGAAGATTCGTCAGCAGACCCTTTAATCCGTAATTCCTATCGTACTAATTGTACGAGCGAAAATGATTTCAACTAAATGGGAGTACCCACGCCTACGACTATTACGACAAGAAAGAGATAAAATACGAAATAAATAGAATAGAAGAGTAAGAACGCAAAATACACAAAAAGAGAGAGAGAGAGAGGGAGAGAATAAAATTGGGGTTAGGTCGATAAGATACGACGAGCGATTACAATTTCGATGGACGTTACGTTATTATTATGTTAATCGATATCGCGTAATTTTTTGCAGAAAAATGTAGAAAAAAAGTAATTGCAAAAATACTCCTTCGAACTATATTATATATATTATAATACGGAGGAACCTTAGAGGATCGATACCTCCGTTCTAATCGATCGCGATGCAACCTCGAGCGTCGAAGCGGGAAATTTGAAATAAAAGTCAAGAAATTAATCGGTTTGATAATCTTGAAACGCGTTACTCAAAGTGAAATTGTTTCGTCTCTTGGTTGAATTAACTTCCTAGAACTAATTACAAAGTCTCAAGGCTCGAACGTTCAAACTTAATTACTCTCCGACTCTCGCTATTCGTCTCTTCCTTTTTGCTAGCCACCGTCCCCATCCGAGTCTTCCTTTCGAGCACGTTGTAAGACGTAACCCAAGCGTGTAGGTGGCTTGAAAAAATATTGAAAAATGACGCTCGACTGGACCTCAACGAGTTGGATTTATGAACGATATCGGTGTCGATAGCGACACAGATATCTATGTTCGTTTCGCCTTTCGCAAATCTCCTGTAAATCGTCCAGTCGCAATCCTACCGATTTAATTAATGTCAATCGATCCGCGGATATAAACGTTCGACGCGTCAGATGCCACCGCAACGTTATCTCTGATTTTCTCTCTATTTGTACAGGAATTTTATTTTAACCTTTAGCATCTCCTCTCTAACGCAAATAGGTATGATTTTCCCTCTCGAAACGATATCTTCTCTGGTATATAATCTGCACAACTTTTACCTTGATTTTACAAAAGGTTTGCAACTACTACGGTTACCATCTTGATTTATATACTCCACGAGATGCCGAGGATGTACGGAAAACTATTTTTAGTAAGTTGTTTGACTGTTTTCTCTAATCATCTCTAATCAGGAAGGTTCGCGTAAACATATTTTAGGAGTGCAAGAAGCACGTTTCTAAGTAAAGCAACAACACCGAAATAGAAGCAGGCACGATGTTTCTTGCGAAGCGCTAATGAATTTCTCGCGAGCGATCTTTTTCCGATTACACAACTGTTCTTTCGTTAAATGACTTATTTTTGATGATTTCAATGCTGTCAGGAAAGCAAAGGAGAGTTAAAGAGAGCGAGAGAGAGAGAGAGAGAGAGAGAGAGATAGAATCGGTCCTCCCCTCTTCGCCCTCTTCGTCGAAAACGATGGGAACGAGATCGCGTGACGAGTTTACGAACGATTCGTTTAGCTCGTTAAGGCTCATAGACTTCCCGAACTTTAAAGCTATGGCTCTTACTTAAAGCCTCTTCGAATATAACGAATAGTTTTATATCATTTTTAGTTATTTCTTTTTTTTTCCTTTCTTACGCAACGAGATAAGGTTCGTTTGAATAGAATAAAAGTAAGCAAAGTAAAAAGGAGTATGAGAAACACCGTGTACTCACCTACTCCTGCCGAGTACCAAAGTCGTGAGGAATCTGTTATCTTGAAATTTGAGCTGCTCCTCCTCCGGCGATATCGGCGCCGTGGCATCCAGTGCACCGGACTTGCGTTGCCTCATAATGTTATCTACGACGCTGCAAACGGACGTGCGTGCTCGTTAGGCGGGTAGCAGCTCGCAAGGCGTTTACCAATTCTCTTCGATTTTGATTTTTAATATTTTTATAATTAAGTCATTTCAACGCAGTTTCAACGTCGTTCAAATGTCGTTAACGTTTATCTTTCAACTTGGATCATTTCGAAAGAATTAATTGCTAAAAAAGTTTTCGATAATGACAAATCGAGGATCCTAGGATTGTAGTAATAACGTCTTATGGCGTCTTATTAATGCAATCCTAGGGCCACGAAGGAAGCCACGTAAAATCCCCGCTTGCGAGCGTGTGGAATATTTCTAAATTGGCGGTCGGTCGATTGTCACCTAAATACCTAAATGGAATAATTGGAGCTGGATTGGCCTTACGGACTATTTTTAGCCACCGCCAAGGGGTAAGCCCTCTAACGTTGGCTAAAAATAATCTTATCGCGAATTTACCGTCCCTTCTTTCGAGTCAATGGTCCGTCGTTGTACGTTTTTCACCGATCGGCTAGTAACCTCTTTGCATTTTTTTTATATCATTTACGACAAGAAATCTAGAATTTTTCGAACGAAACGAGCGCGTTAAAATATCTTTCAATGTTTAAAAATGCGATTAACGCGTATAAATTCGCCTCTCTACTTCTCCTTTTCTCATTATATTATGCTCTAAGTATATTATCAAACAGTAAGACCGATTTCGAGACCGTCGCATTCTTAGAAAAATCGAAAGAGTTCTCCTTTGGTTTCTCTTTCGCGTAACCAAGTATTTAGGTTAAATATTTCATTTGCAGGCCAGGATGACGATTTTCACTTAATTTCCTTACCGGCGCCGTTTTCCTCCCACGTTCGTGTTCCGTCAGAGACTCTAATTTTCGAGCCTCGACGAGAGAAAATCATTCCGTCCCACGAAATTTGACGTACGCCTCTCGTACACTATCTATGTACACTATTCTATTTCATTAAATGCAATGAAATTTATCCAAATGCTCTTGTCAATTTATTACCACTTGGAAAATATAAGTCGTGGCGTATTTGTTCTTCTTCTTCTTCTTATTTTCATACGCACCCGCGAGAGTTAAATGCATAACTATTAGTCATTGATCGATCATACGTGCGATCATCAACGAGCACATTTATGAGTACATTTGAACAAACACGTCCACGTGTGTATTTTCCTACGATCCGCAATTGTTCTAAATGGAATAACTAGACATCGTCCCGTGGTCGTACCGTTCCAATTTACTCATTCTACTAATCTATTACCGTATATCGAGGAACGAAAAAGAAGGGATTTTCGGCAAACTTTAAACGAGTTTGAGAAAAGCTTGGCTACGAGAGTTAGACAGTGTCTTTTTTTATTTCATCTTAACGACTAGGATAATGAATTTGAGCACCTTTTATACCGGAACGAATGGAACTTGCAGAAGGGTGAAGGAAATGAAAATAAAGAAAAGGAGCAAATTTGGAGCATTGGCACGATGCTTCGACTTTGTCTAATGGCGCTCTTCGTCAATGAAACCTCTGGTCAGGCGGTCGAGGGTCAATTGGTTATTAACTCGGGCAGGAATAATGACCATTAAGCCGTCCGTTTCACTGTCATGAAAATCATCGCTGCTAACGAAAAAAGGTTGTGTTCGCGCTTGATATTGGATCGATCGTATAATCGTAGTTGGTAAAATACATAGGTGTAAATATTTCGTGCATCTCACCTGACGGGTGTCGATTTTAAAGTTCCGTTTGCGCAAAGATCGGTTGCCATGGCATCGTCATCGATATCAATAACGACGGCGGAAGGCCACCTTAAATTCCGTTTAATCGTTTGATCAGAGAACCAACTGCTTATGCTAAGACGCGAAATACCGAACTACTGCGACGGGTCGAACAGATGCAAATTCCGAAGTAGATGTAAGTTCGTCGTCGACTGAACTATGTCAGACGGGAGCGCACTTCTCAATTGAATAAGTACCTTCTTGCCACGGACCGAGGAGTGCGCTTCTCGCGGCGAATGCGCACCGCACCGCTCCTATGCGCTCTTCGAAAACAGGCCCCACAGAAATGACACCAACAACGAAAGAAAACCTTTTACTTGTCTCGTCAATAGAGATCGTTTCGTCGTCGGTCCGAAGCCAATGCGCGAATTAAGCGAGAGTCGCGGGGAACAATAATTTATATCGTACGACATGGGGCACGTTGACTCAATCAGGGCTGACCTTGTCTGTCGACTGCCAAGTCTGATTTTCAGAAACCGATTAACGTTCATCGCCGAGAAGACGTCATTTCGAAAACAATCTTCGCTTGAGTTCCTGCCTTTATACAATATATTAAACGATAGAAAAACAAACAAATAAGCGATTATCGTTCGACTTTAGTTAGGAAATATTTTCTCTAATATCGCTTTCGATTTCGTTCTTTCGCTTAAGGCGCAATATCGGATAGATGATTCACACCAGCTTCGCTCCCACTCGATAAAACGACTCCCTACCCTCCCCATGCGCGAACGATGACGACGTTTCATAGAGTTTTATAGAACAAAGTCAGATCCGTCCCAGCCGACCGACACGAAACTTCGATTTTAATTTTACAATTTCGCTTTTTCCAACAGCTCGCCGAATTGCTCGTGCTCGCACACGATTCTACAGCACTTTACGAGAAGCTCAATTTTACCAAGATCTTCGAGAGCAACTTGCGCAACAACCTTCCCATTTTACGAGACCTTTCTTATCTACCGGAAGAATACAACAATGAAGAATTCGAAAGACCAAAAAACTTTGGAGAACTCGACCGACAGAATAGAAATTTAATGCCTGTAATTTTCTTATAAACTCTTATAGACTCTTTTTACTTTTTTTTTTTTCCTTTGACTTACTCTTTGTCTTTAGGAATATCGAAACCTCTGCGAAACCGTGACCAGAAGAGTAGAGTTCAACGATGAAAATTACGAATATCAACCGCCTCATTATCACGAAGTCTACTGCAAGAGTTACTCGCTTCTCGATCGAGCATCCGAACGAACAACGCGATCATCCAAACAGGTTGCATTTAATGCATTTAAACTTATCTCGGCGTTGTGTTCGATATCGAATATCGTTCAATTGCCTATACGCTTGCATACGTGTTTCAGAAATGTGCACATCCTGGCTTTCATTGCGTACAAAGGAGTAGGACCCTCTTCTTAGTCAGACGCGCCTGGGACAGCGATTGTTGGGAACCTTTCACCAAAGAAATTGCTGGTGGTTGCGACTGCATGTGGCCGGTCTCTCTACTCGGTGATATCGCTGCTCATTATTAATTTTCATCGACGATGGAAAATGTAGCGCCAATTATAACGCATTGAATAAAATTTCTTCAGATCAAAGTTGTTTTGTTCACGGTTAAGATTTATTTTTCAAATTCTCGCGAGGAGAAACAAAATAAAGACATAATTCTCCTATTACTCCCATGAATTTGCTTTATGCTTAGGTAAGAAATGGAATCCGTCGGGTACTTTTCCAAGTAACATTTCTCTAAAATAAAAAGACCAAACATGACACGATATCCATCGATTATCCTATCAAGCGCATTGCGTATGTATTTATTGTGAAAACGAACTTACGATATCTTTACCCAATCCGTACAATTAGAACTTGCCATAAGCGTTTCCATTTCGTCTCGACCTTTGTAAAATGGTGGTCTCTCGTTGATTCTCTGCGGTGGTCTTTCCAATAATCCAACAGGTACATACCTAGATAAAATATGCTACATGTAACAATACGTTTGTACTACCTTATTATCGTCAACTTCCAAGTAAGATTACTTGCCTGTGTAAGAAGGAGATCCATTCTAGCATAAATCTTCTTGTTGTTTCAACTCCTCGCGTATCGGATCCCCAATGTTCGAGACCATAATTAACGTATTTCTTTAATATCTCAAATCTTTCTGTACTTCTCACATCTATCAACTTTTTCTCTTTCATTTCGGTAAAAATCCATGGTTTTACTAATGCTCCTCTTCCTATAGTCACCCCTTGTACGGAAGTGTACGTGTTTAGTGCTCTTTGATAATCATCGTACGAAAGAATATCTCCGTTCCCAAATACAGGTACAGGCTTTGCTGCCTGTGCACATTTTTCTATATAATTCCAATCTGCGAGTTTGGTGTACCTTCGTTCGCGAGATCTTCCGTGAACCTGTTCAAAATGCAATCGTTATTCATTTACTATTGAATAAATACTTTTTTTAATTATCAATACTTTTGATTAAATCAAAATGAAGGAAAATTACTCACGGTAATCATGGATACGCCCCAATCTCGAAACTTTGGCATTAGATTATGCGCGATAGGTTTATCTATGTAAACCCCTGTTCTAGTTTTTACCGTTAAAGGTATTTCCACAACTTGACTAACAGATTTTATAACCGTTTCTAATACGTTTAATCTATTGAGCATACCACTTCCACCACCTTGTCTGTAAATTAAATCGATAGGACATCCTAAGTTCAAATCTATGAAATCTATATTAATTTCTTCGTTCAATAATTGAGCACATCTTGTCAATACTCCAGGATTATTACCACACAATTGTACGCCAAAAATGTCTTCGCTTTCGTGTCGTTTTACCAACGCCCATTCCTCGTGCGCTCCTTTCAGTATTTTAGGAGCTAATGCCATTTCTCCGCAAGTGATATCGGCGCCGTAACTTTTGCAAATTCTTCGAAATGGAAGATTACCCACGGTCGTTAAAGGACTTAACATTATTTTATTCTTCCAATCGATCTTTTTCTTTTCCGAAGCTCGAATTTTAATCAAATCGTAGTCCTCTACGGGTCCGATCCTTGACTCTTTTTTCTCACAAATCTCATTCGATATATTATCTTTCTCAAATTCTTCCCCGTCTTTTTTTACTTTTGAACATTCCAATCGAGACGTTTCTTCAACGGAATCTTTCAACTTTTGACTTTCGGTAGATATCTTCTTGGCGGATGAACTGTTTCTTTTAACTATTGCTTCGGCTTTCGAAAAATTATATTTATGCTTCCTAAGCTTATTTTGGAGTACCTTGGATAATTGATTTTGCGTCGAAGCAGGTTTCTTATTAAATTCTTCGAATTTTTCTGCGTTTACTATGTTGTAACCATCCATGGTCAGATGATTAGTACCCATCCTGCATGCGGCACCTCTAGGACATCTACCCATTAAATTGAAAATATAACACTCCTCGCTAATATCGCTTGGCTTTAATTGCAGATATTCTTTTCGATCGTGTAGAAAGGAACAATGTTTAATCTCACATTTTTTCTCAGGTTCCCCTACCGCCTGATCCGCTATCCATGGGCACAGACTTGTTTCGCGCAAGGTTTTGAACGGTGGTGGCCTGGCTTTATTCTGACCTCGAAGCTTTTCCTTCTTTTCTTCGGATTTTAATTTTTTCGATGAAAAATCATGAGACGTTGGTTCCTCCTCGTTCGCGTTGATACTTTCCTCCGCGCTCCGCTTGTTTGATCCGACAAGGCACTCCTCATTTTGCAATCTTATTCTATCTTCGATTATGAATCTGCAATAAATGAATATTTCTTTAATCTTGCAAAAGAGGTTAATCTAAATGTTTACAACTTTGTAACGTGATGCAAAACTATCAAGAAATGTACGAGGCATAATCCTAATGTTTGATTTTGAGGTTATGATTCTAGCGTGCAAATAGATATATAACGATTTCATAATTTATATTACAAATGTAGATAATAATAAAAAAACTTACTCTTCTTTAATAAGACACACGCCCTTGTTTTTGTCGTCGCCGTAATCAAAAGAACAATCTTCGTCACACTTTTTACCGTAGTCCGCCATTTAAAACCGTGATACTAAAATATCTCGATATCTACGGGGAGTAGTTCAAATCAAATCTTACGCGCCTTTTTTAAAATAGAATATTAAAATATCGATATTGGTTGTCTATATAATATGTGGGTAGATATTAAACATGAAATATAAAATATAATCCTTATGTAAATTAATTAAAAAAAAGAATTAGCATTATCTTATCTTTAACATTGTTTGTTGGAAGAACATAATGTATATAGCCAAACTGAAAAGTTCCTTTATTTGAAGGATAATTCACATTACGAATACAAATTATATTATATTTTGGAATTGTTGTAAACGTACCTTTATACGAGAAGGCTACATCAAGAAAAAATTGCTACAACATTTTCTCTCGTTATTCACTGTTGAAATAACGACGAATAAAGAAATTACCGATTTCGAATAAAGATTTATTCGGTGTGAACATGGCTTTATATCGATAATAGAGGAAGAGCAGCGCGCATCTGCGAACGGCATTACGCAAATACATGAATAAAATCCGCACTCTATAAATGCGTTAAAAGCTGAACACGTGCGTTAGTACGCGCCTAACTCTATCTCTGAATGTGCGAGTTTAGTTTTATCGTATGAAGACTCGTGTTATTTTTCCTATTTGAACGTAATTATATTGTGTGCGACGTTATTAACGAATAAACGAATAATTTCGTTATTTTTTGCGTATTTTCTTTCTTATGTGATAACAAGTTTGACTCACGTTATATGTGGTATTTATAATAAATTTATACTAGGTCAGTATAGATGACACGAAAGATATAAGAGCCTCATTTTAAACACAAAAAATAATAGCTAGACGATAGTCTATCCATTTTAATAAACTCATCATACTTCTTTCAATAAATTAATTATGTTAGAAAATCTATTATTTTGTACTTTTTATCTTTGTTACCAGTGTCAATTAGATAAAATAAGATTGTCTTGTTAATTATCTGACATCTCATTTTATCTTACTGCAAATCTTATATTTAGCAGACTAATAAAATGTTTCAAAATACAGGTGAAAGTATATGATAAGATTCATTTGTAAAATTTCTTTGTATTTCAACATCATGGAATGAATAAAATTGATTAATTAATAAACAAATTACTTCCATGTAAGATTACACCTGTAATTGTATTTTACAGATATTAAGTATGGTAGAAACATCAACATTAGGATGGATCGATTATGCAGTTATATTTCTCATGCTTTGCATAAGTATCGGTATAGGTATTTATTATAGATTCAGTGGTGGCCGGCAAAAAACTGTAGAGGTAATACAAAATATCTTTATTAAAAATTATCCAAATTTATTTATATTTATTGGATTGAAATAAAATGAAATGAAAATATTTTCATTCATAGGAGTATTTTAATGCAAGCCAATCGATGAGCATTATTCCTGTTTCAATCGCTCTAGTGGTTTCATTCATGTCGGCTATCACTTTGCTCGGCGTATCGGCTGAAAATTATTACTATGGAACACAATTTGTAATTATAAATTTATCATACGTAATAGGTACACCTATAGTTTGCTATGGATTTTTACCAGTATTCTTTAAGCTTCAAGCAACAAGCGCTTATGAGGTAACTATTATGAATGAAACTTCATGTAATGAATATCTTAAAAATGAACAACTTTTAGTACTTGGAGAAGCGCTTTGGGATTAAAACTAGAATGATGGCTAGTTTTGTGTACTGGGTACAGCTGCTTTTATATTCCGGAGTTGTACTTTATGCGCCTTCCTTAGCTTTGGAAGCGACTACAGGAATTTCTAAAACTGGAAGTATAATTATAATTGGATTAGCTTGCAGTTTTTATTCCAGTATAGGAGGCATTAAGGCTGTCTTAATAACAGATGTATTTCAGAGCTTACTTATGTTTGCTTCTGTAATTATTATTATTATTATAGCCTCTTACGAAATAGGAAGCTTAGGGAAAATTTGGGATATTGCGGTGATTGGACAGCGGATAGAATTTGACAAGTACTGCGCAGTTTATAACATTCATTAATAATTATATTTATCATTTGATATATTTAATTAATATTATTAAATACTTTTACCAATATTTTATTTAGCATTTCTATATATCCAACGGAACGACATACTTGGTGGTCTCTCATTTTTGGCGGTTTGGTTACATTTTTGTCCTTGTACGGAGTAAATCAAGTTCAAGTACAACGTATGCTAACCGTTAAGAGCTTAAAATCAGCCCAACTATCGCTGTGGCTGTCTCTGCCTATTTTAATATTTCTTTCTGTGTCAACATGTTTTTCTGGACTATCCATGTACAGTAAATATTTTGCGTGCGATCCTTTAACAGAGGGGAGAATCTCTACTATGGATATGTTAATGCCACTATATGTAATGGATACTATGTATTATTTACCTGGATTGCCAGGTCTTTTCATAGCAGGTAAATATAATTGGTAATACAACAAAAGTAGTGAAATTAATTAATATGAATTAATCGATACGTTTGTACTCGCGTGTAATTATCTTTTAAAAGGTATTTTCAGTGCTGGCCTTAGTACAATTTCTGCAGCTCTAAATTCTTTGGCAGCTGTTACGTTAGAAGATTATGTCAAACCTGTATATAATCGTTGTACTCGTAAAGAATTAAGTCCTACAAGTGCAGCCACTGTTGGAAAAATTATTGCATTCGCGTATGGATTAATCTCTATCGCTTTGGCTTTTCTTGCTGAACTTTTAGGAGGCGTTTTGCAAGTATGTTATTTTTATTGGATAAATCATATAGATTTACACAGTTGGTTCTTTTTATCGATAAGTATTATAAATCACTGTCGCGCGTCCTAGGCAGGATTGACAATATTTGGCATTGTTGGAGGCCCACTCTTGGGAATTTTTACATTAGGAATGACTACTGAATCCGCTATAGAATCGGGAGCTATAACAGGAACAATACTATCCCTTGTCTTTCTCTTATGGATTGCTTATGGACAACCTAGACCCATTCCTACTAAATTACCATTATTTACGAATGGCTGTGATGTAAATTCAACAAACAATATAACATTAAGTGCGTTTAGAAGTTCGATGGAATTATCTTCTCCGTGAGTAATATTTTTTAATTAGCATTATAATATATATTATGAAAAGTGGTAACTCTTGAAATAAAATATTTTGTTTACATTTGTTTCAGAAAAATTGACGATAATCACTATTTTTATTTATATCGTATATCATATATGTGGTATGCACCACTTGGGTTCCTTATTACTTTTATCGTCGGTTTATTAGTTAGTAATATAATTCGATGCATATCTAGGCAAACTCAGAAAGAGTTAGATCCTAATTTGCTTTTTCCAATAATCGGGAAACGCTTAAGCAATAAACGATCTCTTCATTTCGAACGCAGCGAGTTGGCAGATTCGAATAAGAAATTACAAGGAAAATATATATTTAATGCTGAATCGGTTGATGAAGGGGAACTAATTAGTACAAGTATTTAAAACTATTAAGTTTTATATACTTTATATAGGGTCACATATCGCGAGATATAATATCAGATATGTCACGTCTAGAGATACTGGAATTAAAACATACAACATTAATATTCTCAGGGTTATTTAGAAACGAGTTAGTATTCCTTTATTACGATTATGATCCTTAAATATGGTTTTATTCTCTCATTTCTTAATGACACAGCTGACTATATCTCGAAGTTTTTATTTTATAGCGTCTTTGCATTTTTTCGCCTTTTAATGGCATTTAGAACAATTTAATTCGTATAGTATTAGCTCGAATATATTTCATTAAATCTATATACTTGTCTTCCATTAATCGTCATTACACTGCCAATTTACTTAAATTTATACATCATTTTATTGTAGTTTTTTTTTTTGATTAAAAATAAGACCAGTATGCAAAAACAGTATATATATAGGCATGCTATGTAAGCGATTTTTTATCGCGAAGCCTATCAAAATTTGAGTCCAATATGCGCGCCAAATAAGTATGAAAATATTTCACATATACTTTTTATTTATACAATTGAATATAATATAATGTGTAATATTGTATCATCTAATGTGAGACTATTACTATAACAGTTATATTTTTGACAAAATCTAATCGAATGTGAAAATTGTATGAGAGAACGTTGATTTTAAAATGAAATCAATTTTACGTGATCAAAACTTGCATAATTGTTATACTATTAATCCTATCCTTAAAAAGAAGATGCTTTTTTCTAGATAAAATTGGACAAGAGAAAATATGTTAGTCCTAAAATGTTGTCAAGAATGATGGGTGGTGCCGATCCGATTCATCGCCTTGTCACTGGATCGAACCACCGCCGGTCGGTTGAAACCAGTTTCAATTTATACAAGCTGCCGCAGTCCGATCGGGCCAGAGCCCTTTTTAATTATTTTTCCACTGGAAGACAATGGTCAAGAATGACAGCGACACTCGGACATATTTTCCATTCGTAGGACGGACCATATTCGTTAGCTGAGCAAGCAATTAATTAATTAAGACGTTACCGCATCCGAGTCGCATATTTCTTCGTCTTCGTCTGAGTCTTTTATCTTAGTCGTCGAGGTGATTTTACCTTAATGCCTGTATCTTCTTTTCTTATCTTCTCTGGCCCTTCCCTCCTGGCTATGACAATTTCGATTCGTCAATCGAAAATTTATCTTCATCGTTCGCGCTTAATTTCATTACGACGACAAGACGACGTTAACATTGAAAAGAAATCTTGCCTCTCTCTCTTTTTCTCTCTCTCTCTCTCTCTCTTTATCTATCTGACAGGATCCTTCACTCTGTTTGTTGTGCTTTTAGACGATCGTCGTTAGTCCTGTTTGCTCTCGCAATCTTACTCCTCTATCTATTGATCATTGCCGAGAATGTAAATATATTTTCTCGAGCGAGAAAAATATTTTTTTTCAACGTCTTTTGAAATATCGAATAGATATATTCTATAAGAGTTTTTCGCGAATGCGTTTATTTTTGCGAGTCGTCAACGTACAAGAGTTCCATAGTAGATATTCTTACTCTTTTCGAAAAAGGGGTGAGTTCGTTTGGTCCTTCCTAAATCGATTCGATACAAAAATCAATGTGAAATTAAATTTGAAAGCTCGACGTTTATCGTAATCGCTTAATTTGTTACTCGATTACTCTTCGCTTCGTTCGGATTTTTATCAGTTACATCGCGCTTCTCTATTGAACTTTAGAGCATCTAAGTTGATATCAGCCTCTACACGAAAAAGAACAAAAGTTATAAATTGAATTGTTGCTCGGCGCAACGAATGTGCAAAATGTGCAACCCTGACGCAACCCTTTGCGAGTGTTCCTTTTAAATGTTGAAATTTGAAAAGCACGTTTGCCTTTCTTCGAAGACGACAAATGCCTCCTCTTATACGATTGTTCCCGAGATTTAGGATAGGTCTGTTTACGCAAACGCTGTTTACCTGTATCAACATATCGCCACGAAGACGATCCGACGATGTTGGGTACGTAGCGCGTTAAAATCTAAATGATATGACGCAAACACGTGCATCGAATTACGCATTGAATTACGCGTCGTCTATGTATGCACCACTCCCTCTCTCTGTATACGTCTTTTAGTTTATATCATTAACCGATTATTACGCGAGCCTTATGTGACGGACGAGTATTATCCAACGAATCGAACAATTTAACGAATTCGGTGTCAGGATTTTCATTGGAAATATGAAAATAAAGTAAAAAGTAAGTGGTATTAGATTGCGTCATTAGGGTCGCTATCGCTTCTATTTCTTTCCTATGTCCGATCGACACGAGACACAGAGAGGGAAGCGCGTAACCAAGTGGGAAGAGAGTTAAACTTATTGTTAGCTACGTTTACTATTCTGAAAATCGTCAAATCCGGCTTCTTTCATCGCTACTTGTCACGGAAGAGTCGTAATAATTATTATTTACGAGCGTCGTTACGATATACTATCGATGCTGCACACACACAAACACATACTTTATATGGGTAGAAGGGGATGCAACGTATAAAGGCGCTCACATGACAATTAAAACGACCAGTCTTAAAACCGTTCTCAGTTTAATCCGCTCGACACCCGCGACTCCGAACGCGTTTCGCGGTTTATTCCTTTTTCCTTCTTCCTTTACTTCTCGCTAAATTATGAACGTCCGATCTATCCCTAGGAGATTAGAATATCCTTCGTTGTTTTAACCAAAGCGTTAGAATGCGCCATCATTAATCGTTTCGTTGACAAAAATTAAAGTTACAAATTTTGACCGAAAGTTCCTATTTCGTATACATATATGCGTTACGTCAGGAAAACGAGCAAGATCATACAATTGCAATTTCGTACGTTTTTACTCGGCACGCGCGATTCAAATCCTTCCGCGTTTATCCTCGCGTAAACTGAATCGACGAATTTGGAGCTGATTCGTTGCTCCTTCTTCTTGACAGGCAAAAGGTACGTCAGATTTACCTTTATTATTAATATTATTAAGTCGGTTATCGAGGTTGCATCTTGCGAAATGCAAAACAACGAATGAATATTAGCATAGATCGTGGATTAATTGTTGAAAAGAGAGGAGAGAATAACTGGTTTTAGCTCGGCTCGTTAAACGATTAATCGCGATGATCAAGATTTTGTTCTCCTAACAAGGCCGAACGGTGCATAATAATGATTTCTCTTTGGAAAATATGTAGAAACATGTAGAAATGCGTTTCCCATTTGTTCGATAATTACGTAAATCAGAATCGATCGAATTGCCGTTGATTAAATCGTGACAAGATCAAGGCTGACCGATGTCAAGTATAAGGATCAATTGAGACGCGTCTAAAAGATCTACCGCCAATTTACGCGTTCGATTCCCGATAGACCTATCCGTTTCTATTAGCCTTTTCTTTATTGACGCAATAAAGATCGTTCATCGTTTTCCGATAATCCAAATTACTTTGAATTATTATTTGCTTTTATGGTTCGACCTAGTAACGCGCATGCAAATAAAGGTCTTTAAATGAAGCTGACGAATCTAATACTCGGAGTAATCCCTGTAACCGGTATGCAAAGTGCATTTCGTAAAAGAATCTTCTTTCGGAATGCGTCAGCTCGGATGCCTTCTAACGATTCGAGTTATGATGAATCGCGTTAATTAATTATTATTTGATCGATGACGCGTAATTAGGAACTCAAAGTTAAGGTTTTTCAACGTAGGCGGTACGCTCTAATGTCAAATGAAAATAAAGAAGTAGAGAAGTAGAGAAGTAGGGAATAAAAGCTTGTGATATCGAATGGTTGGTTCGACAGAGATTAAACAAAATGCGACCACGGCTGTTCGTGCTGTTTTTCTTTCTGTCGGCTTCCTCGGCGGAGCAACGACGAGTCGTAGAGGAGGAGAATTGCGAGGAAGATCGACCCTTTTTACTCCATTACTTTTCCTGGGCCGATTACGCGGTACTCTGCTCGATGCTACTCATCTCCTGCATGATAGGCACCTTCTACGGTTTCTTTGCGAAGAAACAAGAAACCAGCGAGGATTTTCTTCTCGGGGGTTCCACCATGGGTACCTTTCCTATGGCCATGTCTCTAGCCGCGAGTTTTATCACGGCCATCGAACTTCTTGGAAATCCTGCCGAGATGTACACTCAGGTATAGGTATTTACTAATTTAGTCATTTAATAATTTCCTTCCTACTACCAATCGAAAATTCTTCTTCTTCTTCTTCTTCATGTTTTTAGGGTACTCAGTTTTGGATGACGTGCCTGGCTTTTATTTTAGTGGTACCGATCACTTCTTATCTCTATTTGCCAGTTTATATGAAGCTCAGATTGACCTCCAGCTACGAGTACTTGAATTTACGCTTCGATCGACATTGTAGATTACTTGCAAGCGGATTATACATGCTTCAAATGATTTTTTATACGTCCGTTGCTGTCTACGCACCGGCGTTAGCTCTAAGTCACGGTAACTTTCCTTTTATATTTTTCTATAACACTTGTAATCTATAATAGCTTTTTCTTTTCTAGTCACGCCATGATATGTATTAATACTTTTTTCTCCTTTTCTCTTTTTTTATACAGTCACAGGCCTTAATACTTACATAGCTGTTACTCTAGTCTATTTTGTCTGCATATTTTACGCCTCGCAGGTTGGTATAAGGTTTATTTCATAATTTTTCATAGATATTAAAGAGAAAGAGAAAGAGAAAAAGAAAGAGAAAGAGAAAGAGAAAGAGAAAGAGAAAAAGAGAGAGAGAGAGAGAGAGAGAGATGTTCGGACGCTATGCATTTAGGGTGGTATGAAGGCGGTCATAATGGCCGACACGTTTCAAGCAGCCGTTCTCCTAGGATCTCTCTTCCTCATAGTCGGCTTAGGCATCTTTTGGGCAGGCGGAATTTCATTGGTCTGGGAAGACAATCGAATAAGCGGAAGGATAGAGGTCTTCAATATGGATCCAAGTCCAACGGTACGACACAGCTTCTGGAGCGTCGTCGTTGGGGGTACTTTCTACTGGACCACCATGTATTGCAGTAATCAGGCTTCCGTCCAAAAATATCTCAGCGTTTCAAGCATCTCTCAAGCCAGAACGTAAGTTTCATTCGCTTTCGCATACGATTGTTCATACGATTGTTCATACGATTGTTCATACGATTGCCTTTTCAGGGCTTTGTGGGTTTCCAGTTTCGGAATGATCATAATATATACGATCAATTTTTTAACGGGCATGGTACTTTATAGCGTTTACAAAGACTGCGATCCGCTTTCGGCCCATTACATAAGCAGCTCCGATCAAATACTGCCCCTATACGTGATGAATTTTTTGGGAAGCCTTCGCGGTATGCCCGGTTTCTTCGTCGCTGGTATCTTTGCAGCATCTTTGGGGTTAGCATATTCGAATCGAATGACATATAATATATAGGTAACACTCAAAGTTATTATTACACATTTGTTAACGCATTTAGAACGGTCGCAAGTGCTTTGAACTCTTTGGCTGCGATCACGTGCGAAGACGTTCTGCAAGGACTATTCAAGATGGAATTACCCGGCCGCAAGGGAGCAATTTACGCCAGATGGATCAGTATATTTTTTGGCGTCCTTAGTTTCGCTCTCGTCTTCGTCGTGGAACAACTCGGCAGCGTTCTCCAGGTAGCTAAGTCTTGAATGCACGATCAATCGATGTACGATCAATCGGTGTACGATCATCTTTAGGTGGCTTTGTCGTTCAATGGTATGGTGGGCGGAGTTACCCTGGGATTATTCTCTTTGGGCATGTTCGTACCGTGGGCTAACGCCAAGGGGGCCATGTTAGGGGCAATTACCAGCCTCCTGATAATTCTGTGGATCGGTTTAGGAGCTCAAGTAGCGATTATCAATGGTCACATTAATCTCGAGAATAAAGCTCTCTCGATAAAGGACTGTCTCTGCTTAAACGACACGGCGGCCGAGCCGACAATCGCAGCGACGAGTCTTACGGAGGAAAACGAATATTACGAGATTTCTTCCATTTATAGGGTAAGCAGACAAAGTTTTCTTGTTCCGAGACAAACTTTCATCGTTTCTTTCTTTTTTTCTTTGGATAGACGAGCTATCTTTGGTACAGCGCTATCGGTTTTATCCTGACGTTGGTACTGGGTTTCGCGATCAGTCTCCTAACCGGCTTACAAAATCCGGCCGAACTCGATCAAGATCTTCTCAGTCCCCCGGTAGCAGCCATAATTCGTTTTCGAACGAAGAGACGAGCGAACAGGAACAACGTTCAAGGGGTTGTAAACTTTGGCCTGGAACTCGACGACGAGAAAGCGAACGCTCGAAAAAGTCCAAAGTGATTGTCTCGTTAAGAACTTTAATGCATACGTTACGATCTTACGCGTGTACAGATATTATTTATAGAGATTTTCTTGATCGCGAAACACAGTCAGCTGGATTGCGTTGGATCTGTATCGCGCAAGATTTTACCAATTTATCGAGTTATAACTCGTTATAACCCGAAAGATCTAATTAATTCTTGCGATAACGTTAAAAAATAAGTGTATCATCTAACAAATAGACTATATCTTCAAACGAAACGGTTGTACGAATAGATTTAAGTCGATCGATCGTTTCTTCAGCTTTTGACAGCTACTTTAATATTATTATATTTTTCGCTGACTAATTTCGTCGTTGTATTGCTATTATTATTATTATTACATATGATTACTCTGTTATAGTTATTATTATCATCGGTGTTATTTAAAATGTCTTGCCAAGCAGGATGCATTTTTTTTCGTGTAAACTCAAATTGCATGGTCGACGTTGCATCGTTGAGGTTCGTCGTGAAAAAAAAACTACCGATAAAATTTCCTTACATTTTCTTTTTATTTTCGCTGAAAAGTTTTATTCTTTCTGCGAGAAAAAGAGAACGTGATTTATATTGCAGCGTGTTTGAATATTTTACAAAGCGGTAAGGCGCAAGCTTCCTCCTCCTACCCTCTTTGTATAATTGTACATTTGATATCGAAAAAAATAGAAATTTCATGATCAGTTTTTAAGACTACATACTTTTATGTCAAACAAATGGACTAAGGGAAAACAAAAATTACAAGTATTAAAGGGTAGACTTTGCTTGTCCATTGATGGATTTTTTCTTTTATCTTAATGATTTTATTTAATGAACGAGTTTGAAACTGTCAAGATTTGTTGATGTACGTTAGTTTGTTGAATAAATGTACGATCAAGAGTATTTTCTTGATTATTTCATCATCCATCATAGAAAAGAAAGAGCAGGAGCAGGGGCAGGAGCAGAAGCACCTGTACGTCTGACATAAGGTACGTTTGCGAAAACTCGCTCGTGGAGAGGGAGAAGGAGTGAAAGTGGATCAATACGAGCGACCTGCCTGCTGCCGTACGCTGGAGTCTCCTTCCTAAAGTCGTACCATGCGTTCCATCAGAGAACGCTCGCGTGCCATTTTCGACTGAAAGAAACAACAAAGTTAATTGGCCACCATTAATGGCTCCTTAATTACGTCGCTCAGTGAATCCGTATGTGACATCGTTTCTATTTGAAAAGATAAGTGAAGCAAATATCGACCTTTCTGCGGTGTTTCGAGGCGCATCGAGTTCCGCGATCGACCGTAATGAATTGGATTGACATTCCAAGTAGACATATCGAAGGGACGCATCGAAAAAACGTTTAGCTCGTCCAACTAATAATGTCATGGCTTAGGCTCTTGCGATGGACCATTTTGGTACCACTCGTATTATACGTTTCTTTTTTAATCATCTGGTACAAGAAGAACGTACCTCTGAGAAGTTCGGGATCCATTTCGAAGCACGATGACGGAGACAAGGAAGGTTCCGCGATCGAGAGCCTCTTTCTTGAACTGGAGACGGCGACCGAAAAGAAGGTACGAAATCGTTACGAGAACGTCGGGCTCGATCGAAGGGACGAAGAGACTATAAGGGAGGTAGAGGAAATGGAGAATCGCGAGGATCCGAAAAGTTTGTTGGAGGACATTTTTCGAAGGGCGGACGTAGACGAAAATCAATTGTTGGATATCCAAGAACTGGCCAAATGGATTCACACTAAGATCACGGAACACATTCGTCGCGCTGTACAAGAGAACGTCGGTCTCTTCACTGCCATCGACAATAATCCGAGAAACGGTAAGGAAGAGATTGGACGAGACTTCATTATTTCTTTATCCTTCCCTTTTTTCTACGTTATCTCTCGTCTAGGCAAAGTTTCCTGGGAAGAATATCACGCGCACTTTTTACGATCGCACGGTTTCCCAGAGAGTTACGTTAGGTCGCACGACAAGAGGCATAAGGAGATGTCAAGAACCTTGAAGGAGAGTATCATGAGAGACAGGGCGAGATGGACGGACGCAGCGAGGAACGATCCGGAAAAATTGACCCTGGACGAGTTTTTGGCGTTTACTCATCCGGAGAGCAGTCACGGGGCACTTTTGCAAATGGTGGAAGATCTTTTTGAGAAATTTGGTAATCCAATTTGCTAATCCAATTTGCTAATCCAATTTGCTAATCCAATTTGGTAAGCTTCATTCGATCTATCGTTACGACTGACGAGGATTATTATTATTTTCATTCGCGTAGATCGCGACGGAGACGAGCAATTGACGGAGGATGAATTTTCGGATTTGCCGTCCGAAGGTGTCGGCCTGGAACTCAACGAGGATCGGCATCAAACGGTCGGAGGTAGCACCGATAGGCGAAAGGAGTTCCGTTATCTCATCGATAGAAATAAAAACGGAAAGGCAGATCGTACCGAACTCTTGGTTGGTCTTTTCTCTCTACTACTACTGCGATCTACTCGATCGCATTTCTTCCCTCTTCTTACTTTCTCTTCTTCTTATTCTTTTTTGTAGATGTATATTGATCCACGGAATCCAAGGCACGCGATTCAAGAGGCCCAACATTTGATCAGCCTCTCGGATATAAATCTCGATGGGAAATTAAATCTCTCGGAGGTTTTGAGCAAGACCGATCTCTTTTTGTGCAGTAAAATGGTCGACACCGAGAAAAGTTTTCACGACGAGTTCTGATTACCATAATTAAGCGATATACTATGGACAACTAAGACAATACTTTTTAATTAGTCTCTGAGAACGTATCTGTGATAGTCTTCTCGACTTAGAATATCATTTCATTAATATCTTAATTATCTTATTAAGATAATCTATTACTATATATATATATATATAAATATATTCTCGCGTTATTAACAAGAAAAAAAGACTCACCGTGAATATCAACGAATCGAGTAATCTTAGCATTAATATTTAACGTTAAGGAGTCGATAAGTCCGTCCTTGTATAAGTTTCCATGTACAACAATTTAGCGGTTCTCCGATTCTACGAACTATAACTATCGTAGCGAATACAAAACTACGAGAACGTTCGAGTTTGCGATTTCGAATGCACTTGTCGCTATTAAAAAACGAAACGCTAACGAAAAAAAAATGTTTTTTCCAGGAAGGTACATGAAAAAGGATATACGTAGAAAGGTTCCTATACCTTGTCACTACTTTTGTGTCTTTTTATCGTAATAAAATCATTTTTCTGAAAATATGTATATATTTAAATACATGTATTTTCGAATGCGTATCAATCTCACCTCTCGTTATATTTCTTTCGATTCTTTTATTCATATTTTCGAATGACAAATGTACCAAGAGCCAAGCTTTTTACGCGTGCACGGCTTTTTCAGAATTTTATTAACAATCGACGAGTATCGATTCTACAAAGACTCGAGAAACAAATGATATTGACCATTTCTTAATAATGACTCAAACGCGCGAGCACTTACAATTTCGATGAAAATCTCTAATCGCATGCACGCGATTCGTAAATGTTTAAGCAGGTACAAACTGCGTCAAAGAAAGAAAGAGAGAGAGAGAGAGAGGAGACAAAAAAGACGATTATACGACGGACGCATCATTTTTTAACCGAGTAGATTCGTATGTACAATGCAAAACAATCAATTTTTCATGGGCTTATAAATGATTCTCTCACAACTAATTGTCACATTGATTTTTCTAAACAATATAAGGACACTTTTGCCAGGCAACTTTTTCATAGCTTGCAGATTGAACAATGATAATTATAGATACGCAATGGACGCTCTTTCTATCCGGTCTCAGCAATTATCGAAATTAATCCAAATTTTGTATATTTTAATTTCACTGGTTAATGTCATATTTTAACGAGCATAAGCCAAGATGGTTAGTTTAGTTATCATCGAAATTGACGTGCTGCGAATCGAATCGGCAAGATATTCTTTCGAAGCGTTTAGCATCGGTGTGCGTCTCTTCTAAATACGTGGCTCTCGCGAAAAAGCTTACTAATAACATTTAATATTTAATCGATATTTCTTCTTATCTTCTTTATCAAGCATACTGATATCCTCATTTGAAATATTTATAAAATGCCAAATCATCTTTCATTGGATAGTTCATACATTCGACAATACTATTTCTCATATCTACGCGGGTGCACATATAAGTTATATGACATATACACACACCTAGAAGAACAAAAAATTCGCTGTAATTCCTTGATAACGATCGTATGCGGACTCGTTAACAAATAATGAATCTCTCGCAGGCCGTTGCATCGAACGTATTTATATTTATATTATTAATATTAAATATATATATTATAATATAGGTATGTGTACACACGTGCAATTATTCGATATCCACTCGTCCGTCTATATTCGATCTACATATTTTCACGAATTTTCTATATAGTTTTGTTTCTTAATCGATCACGATCACTCATTGCGTTCTTTCGGATTTTTATTTGGAGATCGCGAACGAGAAACTTGCTCAATTTGTGCCAAACAATATAGAAATATTGTATTTCCAAGGGATTCATTTCAATTTTATCGAGTTAGCCTCGAATCTTATTACACCATACTCGATGCATCTAGATTGAACGATAGGCGTTTCAACGGTGATCGTGTAATCTGGTTTGCTCGATGGTTGCTCGTTATCCGTGGTCGTGGTCGTGCTCGTGCTCGTGCTTGTGGTCGTCGTTGTTGCTGTGGTCGTCGTCGTTGCAGTGGTCGTCGTCGAGTTCAAAGGCATCGCTGGATGTTCGATAGCTCTAGGGGATGTTTTAGCACGAGATTTATTTTTCGATGTCGAAGATTCGCAAGAACTGCCATAATCGGAACGCCGTTCTGCAACGTCGAAGGGAATGTCGAAGAATTTCCATGACCAATCGAAATGCGTTAGGGAAACTTACCCGAGGTTATTCGATAAGGCTGACAACCGCTGTAAGTCGACTGTCTTCTAGCTTGAAGATCCGTTCCTCTTAGGGAAAGATAGACGGTGATAGTCTTGTCTAGAGCTAGTCTCACCTGTCAACGTGACAAATGATATTACGAACGTTTCAAATCCCGGAGTTATAATACCCATACGGTGCATAAGTTGTGACCGCAATTTCGCGCTAGGCAAGAAGTCCATATACACGTTTATCCTATGTACGTGTCGTCGTTAACGATCCTTGCTCGCGTAGCGCGCGCGCATTTTAATGACTTTCCTGATTTTCCTCTAGCTGCGCGAACGAGAGAGAGAGAGACAGAGAGAGAGAGAGAGAGAGAGAGAGAGAGAGAGCTTTGCCCGCTGAATTCTATTCGGCACGAAACTCGAGATGCGTTTCTATTTAAGCGTGTCAATCGCCTACATTCCAGCCACGCGATCATATTTTAACTGTGGCTTAACTTGCCAACGACTGCTCCAAACTTTGCCAATCTCTCCAAACTGATTTTAATGCTAATTACTTCGAGAGAGAGAGAGAGAGAGAGTAGGGAAAAAAAGGGAGATAACAAATTGTACAGTTCTCTGCTAACAAGTTCTTTCTTTACTTCAACATTTCAAATGTTTCGTCCATTGTTTCGAGAGAGTTTTTCTTTGTTGAAGAAAAGAACATTTCTTACCTCGCCATTGAGAAAGCAATAGAGAGTCGCGATGAAGAGGCCCTGGAAAGACGTAAGAAAGTGCGTCGAGTACGACCACAACGCAAATTTCTTTACGTTGTCCAGCGGTGCTTCGATCATGAATAAGACGTTGGTGATACCCAACAAGGGCAATAAAACGACGGCTGCTCTTACAGCTTTTCTGAAAAGCATAAAAGCGAGATACTGGTACGCGATCGATCGACTAACTTTTTCCTTTAACTCCGGTCGACGAACGTCTACGATGGAATATCTACAAACAATTGCAAGAAGTAATAAGCTATTGGAATTTGTAATAGCAATTTTATCGATTGCGATTCCTTTCGTTCGTCGACCGAATACACAAAATGAAGTGGTTTATTCGCCGTTGACATTACGATCTATTTAATTTGACTCGATCAAAGCTTACAGAACTTTTTCAATCTCGCTGGTATGACTTTGCCGTAGCTTCACCACCAACACGCGTATGATGTTGAGCAGGAACAAAAAATTCAGCTGCAACGTTTACAGAGAAAAAGGAGCACACTAATTAAAGGGGAACGCCCGTGGCTACTTACTTGGCTAAATTGACACTTACCAGTATGACACCGAATCTCGGACCTTCGAGAATCCAAAAGTAGGAAGACAAATTGTATCCCGACCAACATCTCGAAAATCTATCCAAAAAGATATACTATTAGAATAAAACTCTCGCCTTCGAGAAGATTTTGGAAAAAAAGTTGCAAAATTTACTTGGATTTCGGATGATAGTAAAATGCCGTGACAATGGCCCAGATCAACGTTATCACGACGGGACATCCCCAACCCACGAACCGATACATACGGTAATAAGAAGTCTCTTGAAAGACGGTCACTGCAAGGTTGCGTCAGGGTTGCGTCAGGGTTGCGTCGGCAATCAAATAGAAACAGTAGTCTTTGAAATGCTTGCCATTCTTGCTTGTTCTTTTACGAAACGCATCCGCAAAGTCTTATCGTAAGCTCCCGTTTCTTGTGAAAAAAGAGAAAAGGCTATAGCTTTGTAAAGGGACACCACTCGTTCTTGATGAAAAAATAAAGTGGGAACAAAGCGGATGCGTTCGTTAACGGATGCAAATGGCCCGTTTAACATTCATGGGAAGTTTGTCTACTCGGAGTACAACCCTCTTCTTTCGTTCAAATTTTTCTCTTCTTTTTTTTACGGATTATTTTTGACGAGCGTCACAGTAAAATGGTAAACGAAGCTTTATTTCCGAGCCAACGGAAGAGGATCATCGCGAACAAAAGTTGAAAAGTAAATAAAATCGTTGGAACGATATCGGAGATTACGGCAATAACTTGAGCATTCGCTAGCTATTCACATATGCGAGAAATGCATATGTTATCGATACTATTAGATTTAGTTTCGCGAAACTCTACTCACCGGTGACCATGTTGTGAAGAAAGAGACCCTCGATGAACATCCACATGAACATGGCGGTCTTTGCGTATTCCAAGAAAACGTAACTAGCCTCGCAGAGAAACGGCTGCGAAAGAAGCAAAAGCGTGAATGGTATTGACCACCTCGTGTCAATCGAATTTCCAGTTAATGACTCACGGTATTTCCTATACCACGTTGCGGGCTGTGTACTTTTCTCCTTAAAAGTTCGATGTCTATATACAAAGTCAATCTTATTAAAACTTGGACAACCATGGCAACGAACAGGTTCTTGTGTATCCTCGTTCTGGTGTTCCTCAAAGACCTAACCATCGTATTTCAATGGCAGATGAACGTAGTACTTCATTTCATTTTCGTTAACACGATTATAGCTAACAAGTAGGGTGCATCGGAGTCACGCCGAGCGCAATTTCCCTTTTATTAGAAACTTACCTGAATCGACAAAAAATAGCCAAAGAAGCGAGCAAAGCCACCAACGATATGCTCAATCCGACGAATTCGAGGGTGCGCGTTTTTTCGGCTATGTCCATTTTCATCTGAAAGCAAGGGAACGTCTCATTTTCCTTTCGTAAAAATAGAACAATGCATTAGTTTCAATTAGTTCATCAGGTATCATCACAGGGTATTGTAATTAATCCGAGTGTTGTTTTAACGCGAGCATATTAACGATACGTCACCGGCTCGTTACTTTATTATATAAATATTGGATATCGTAATAAGACCGAAGTTTCGATCTTTTCTTCTTTTTTAGAGCTATTTGAATAATCGAGAGCATAGCTGAAATTGATTTTCCGACAGTACCTTAATACGTTATTATATTCCAGCGACAATCGATCGGGATGACTTAGCAACAGATGACAGTAGAAACGGTTCATTAGTTCACAGTTATAAACAGGGAAAAACACATTGTTAGATTCTCTCGTATGGCAAACACGAAAAAATTGACACGAAATCGAATCTTTTTAATACCCTATCTCTAACTTATCGTTACTTCTATCCAATAGAAGTATCCATAGAAAATCCAAAGAATTGCAAACAATAGCTTTTTAAATAAACATCAAAAATGAGATGATTCGCAAATAGAAGAATGAGTGTAAACATCGCTTGCATCTCGTTTCCCTCGCCCCCTCCTCTTCGAATTCGAACGAATGCGAGCTTTTAAATATGCTTTTTCCAACTTGCCATCCAACTTGAATGCATAAAAGTATTATTATACTTTGACTCGATTTTAATAGTCGTCTACGCCGTCGGAAACACGGCGACGTTACCAAGCTCTATGTTTGTAGATTTTTCGATCGAATCCATAATGAAAATATGATCATTTATTTATTCGCAATTTCGATTTTATTTCGAATTTATTTTGTCGACAACTGTGTATCTCCTTTCTATCCGACGTAATCGTTTGTAAATTGATTTCAGAAGATGCGCGTACATAGACCTTGTTCTTTTCAAACTTGGAAGCCAGCTGTTATTTCTTTCAAATAATATACCGAATCCTTTGAAAAACTTTTTCCTACGTCTCGAAGGATATTATAAGATAGAAAGTTGCACGCCTTATTCTTATTTTTTGCATAAACTTTTCTACTCTGAAGTGTAGAGTCACGGAATAGGGTGACGACGATTGCATTTACGTTTAACGACGCGAGATCTAGAAAAAGTACGTCAGCAAGGTTTTTCGTTCGACGGATGGGATCGATTTACTCTTATTCGAATCAACGCGTCAAATGAAAATAATCGATTATACGATTCCGACGACAGCCCTTCGTCCTGACTTTTCCAATCATCAAATCTTGTTATATATGTTGTGTCGTAACGCGTCTGATTTAACAAGATTATTTTTATCCGTCGAAACGAATGGAAGCTGAAATTCTATGAAAATGACAATGTTAGATATTTCTTACCTCTCCTTCTTGCGTATTTGTATAAACTTTTTCGTGAATGCGAAGCATTTCCGGTGTCATGCAGGTCGTGTAATTTGCCCATCCGTGATCCGACTCCCCGCCGCTGAAACTTCCATTTTGTCCTTCCCATCGTCCGTTGTAGCCACATTTCTTCTCCACGAATTCTGAAAGTACGCGTACAAAGTCAAAAGTACTAATAAAAAGGCAAAAACGAATAAATAAATGTTCTCGCAAAGTTAGGCCGGAGGTGATTCTGCTTTGGGAAAACTGCCACGTAAGCGTGCGAACGAGATGATATTTCACTTAAACTGAAGTAAGGGAGAAAAAAGTTATGCATTAAACGTAGATCGTCACGTAGAGAGACGTTTTAATCTCTCGAGCTTAGGAGAAGAATATTTTCCTGTTCAACGACGGGAAGATCTTTTTCGCGAAATCGTTGCAAATTGCTTCCTTAAAGAGAAAAGGGAAAAAGATAAAAGGGAGTGTCGAAATTGGTCGGATGCATCGTGTCAGTGCATTCGTAGACACGTCCGTTGGGCCGAGTTTATTTTCGCTCCGATGCACGTACGTCTAACGGAATAGCTTTGACAGGGGGTGTAACATAAAATATATATTTTTCTCGGCGTCGGGTTCGATTCATACGTTGACCTCGCCGCAAATGCACGCGCTCTCAGGAAATTTGCATTCGTAGCTCGAGTATGCTAGACGAATGCGAATGGATGGACGAACTATATTACTTTTTCGACTATTTTTTTACGATTGATTTGTCTTTGTCACCAACGAAATGTACTTTGAAAGAGCTGTGAGACGACTGCAATCGAAGTCATAGATAGCGTGGCGCGGAAAGAACTTATGGGACAAGGTAATACATAGGCCGCATATAGTTGGCTTTGGTTATAAGACCCTTCTTTCTCCCTTTTCGTTTTCCATTCGGTCTGACTCGGTTCGAGAAATTTCTTGGAACTTTCCTACTGGCACGAAGGAAAAAAACGAAAAAATCACCTTCTGTTTCGCCTGGCCAAGTAGAAATCAACGCGTCGCGATCGAGAAAGTGTAATAGCTTTTATTATTTACGTAGCAATTTTGTAGGTCGGATACGACGAAGGAAACAATTTCATTTCTTCTTCCCCTATATCCCTTTTCCATGGAATCGTTCTGTTATTCTTTGTTCGAAATATATCGTGAGCTTTATCCTTTAATCTCTCTTTCTCTCTTTCTCTCTGGAGAAATTCGAGCACAGGGTGGTGGTTCTCAGTTGACGCAAGGGATCCTCCAGGGGCCAAAGTCGGTAGCAAACACAGACTCTATCCTCGTTCGAGTCGAATGAAACAAGCGTTACGATGAAATTCGCGTTATTCCTATGCCGCGTATGTCAGACCGTTACCTATTACCGAACTACAAATCCCACGTGGATGAACTATTTTCAATGACTTTCATCATTTTCATTTATATGAAAACCATCAGCGGGAGTTACTTACTCGTCGTATCGAACCCGTCTACGAATGGGCATCTTTCCCTGGCCGTGTCGAGAGCTTTCGTAGGTGGCCAACAAAGCAACAAATCCCAGACAGGATTGCACCACAATTCTACAAAATAGAAGCAAACGAAAGAATTTATCTACTCGTTGTCCATCCTTTCCTACGTTTCGAACCTTACCTCCGTGCGGTGCCGTAAAATGTAAGTACTGTTTGTCGCAGAGATCCTTGCTGTTACCTCTTGTATCGAGGCCATCCATTTTTTCTTTATTTGTCCATGTCCGTTCGGTCTCTTCCGCTAGGCACCTGCATCTTCTTGCTTTCTAGTCAACGATTACAAAAATACTCATTTGCGAATGAAAAATGTCACCTTTCTATTATGTTTTATCGTCTTATACTTATCCGCAGAAAGTCAGCGAGCATAACACGTTTACTAAGTTTTTTTCATTTTTATTCTCTTGAAAAATATTTCGTTTCGCGAGAAAGCTAACGATTCGAATATTAGTATAGTCTCATATCGAATTTCTCTCTGGATAATTTCGAGATCTGAAACAAAAGGAGATATAAAGCCGGTTGATGACATTGGAATATAAAATGTACAATTTGCTTTACGAGTTCGATAAAAAAAAAAAAAAAAAAAATAAAAACGTACTTTTCCTTTAACAATTGTACGATGCATTTATTTTTTTCACGCTTCGCCAATACTCGCATTTAATATAAACGAATTTTTGTGTGCTGTTGTATTTTAAATACATTCTTTTTTATATAAAAATCGATTTGAACTATCGTGCAATTGCAATACACCGATTTTTCACGTATTTGCTCGAGCGTGGCCGAATTGTTATCGTTCAAATTCCGAAAGATCGAAATTACAAGCGGTCGGGGTACACCTTTCGGTACACCTTTCGGTACACCTTTCGGTACACCTTTCGGTACACCTTCCGGTACACCTTTCGAAGCATCGATTAAAATAATTAGGCGTGTTGCCAGCCCTCCCCAGATCTTAAGACGCAATATCCGTTCTCTCAAATTTTCCGAACTTTTACTCTGGCGTTATCGATACTCGTCTCACGTTTTGAACAAACTCGTAATCTATTGATTTTCCAATCATTTTCGCATTTCTGCGGTGAACCATATACCTTTGTATATATAGCCAATAGCGGGGGAGGGCGCAAGTTTCTTAATTGGAAGAGAGCTAAACGATAGGGTGGATGACTAGGGAGATTTAAGTCAAAGATGAAGGAGGCACCGGTTTTATTTTCCTTTCCCAATCGAAAGCTCGTACAACACTGCTTCGTTTTGTCAAGTTTCTCTTACATATAGCCGAAACCGAAGCGCCACTCGTTGCATTATTATACGTTACATTATGCACGATTATGTCATCGATTTCTAGGCAACTGTATTATTGAGTGCACGTATATGCGCGCATACAAACCGATTAGCTTATCTTACAGATAGTCCTTATGTTACAGGACGAGAACAAATTTTGGGTATTCGAAAAATCATCGACGACGAAAAAACAGATAGAATTTCGACAATTATACTATTAAAGTTGGAAAATCGCCTAGATTAAGATGGACAGGTTACGTGACGCGTATAAAATACTAATTTTAAGTGGTAAACCTAATCGAGAAAGACCATTGAATAGACCAAGATGTATATATATAGGTGGGAAGATAATTTTAGTATAGATCTGAACAAAATGGGATACGAGGGCCGCGAATGAAGGGATCTTGTTTAGGGATGGGAACATTTGGTATTTGCGGAAATGGAGCCTTAGATCTTATAACACCAGATAATAATAATAATAATAATAATAACGTACATGCGCGCATAAACATTATTTCTAAATTATTCTTATGATTTTCAGACACGTTAGGTAACGATAGAGCTCATAAACCCTGGATATATTGTCGGAATATATTGAAAAATTTCAATTCAAAGTTATCACTAACCAAAAACGTTAAAAAAATCCGAAATATTAATAAATCTACAGTACCGTATTAGACATACTTTAAACGATTGTTAAATAATCAAAAAATATGTATATTGTAATCTAGAAACAAGGATTTACCTTTCAAAGTACCTTCCTCTTCGAAATCCACCGTTAGACTGGCTTTGTTATTTCCTGTGAAAGTTCTTTTATCCAATGTTGTTTATGTGACTTTCCAATAGTTGCATATGTATAACATACATAATACTCGAAATCAATACAATTTCCTTTTATGGAAAGTCATATAAACAATTTTAATAAAAGTACTCTCACAGAGGACAAAAAAATCAGTCTAACGGTGGATTTCGAAGAGGAAGATACATCGAAAAATAAATCCATATTTTTAGATTACAATATACATATTTTTCGATGAATTAACAATTATTTATGGTATACCTAATACAGTACTGTACTTTACTAATATTTTGGATTGTGTTAACGTTCCTGGCTAGTAATGACTTTGAGTTGAAATTGTTCATCTGATGAAATATCTGATCGAAAATGTACCGAGAATAATATAATTCTTACTTTTATTTTGTACTTTAATGGGTAAGCATATTATATGAATAGTTTTGAAAGAAAAATCTAGTAAGCGTAACAATATACGATTTTCAGTGACACTCACTGTACATCATTGTCAGAAGAAACGTTCGACTAAAAAAATAGCCGAGTAATCATGTCCGACTGAGCGATCTCCCTCGAGCACCCTCGTTACCAGGATATTGCCTAAGCGTAATATTTCCTATATTCTTTTTTCCTCAAAGTACGCTAAGATTTTCCTATTTTATAGCCATCCGTATCGTTTTAATTCTAACTAAGTCAATTTATTCGACGTTCATGCCTAAGTATTTTCATTCTTTAGATTATTATTATTTTCATAACCATTTGTACAACGAAGGAATCATCATTTTTTTGTTCGATCTTTCGAAAAGTGATTCTCGACTAACTTCGATGTCGATCTGGATTGTTTTCGAATTATACGAGTAATGTCAACTCTTTCCTCTCCGATCGTATTTCAACGTTACGTATTCGATCTATTTTTGAGAAACGCGATAAAAATCGTAACAACGATACGATTAGTGTTATAGATATCGGAAAAGCTTATGCGAATAGAGAAAGTTTATTGCATTGAAAGCGATATAGTTATTTATCGATCAGACGCGCGAACCAACCTTGAATGCTTCGAAGCCCTTTGTAAGTGTTACGTAATTGATATAGAAATGTTATTGACGATTATGTAGCAGACAATTACTGTTTCCGCCATAGCTGTCTAAATCGATTGTTATGGTCGTTAAGATAATGGGAACGAGAAGGTTTTAGATGATTGATTAATCTTGATAAAAAAAAAATATAAAATATCGTTTGGCAGGATGAGTTAAAAAATGTCGCAAACGAAAGTATCGTATACTTTGAATCGTAATATACGTGGGATCCTCTGCGTGGATAAAAGTAAAAAGTAATAAAAAAAATGAGTATCCAGGCGTCCCGCTGGACAACTGCCAAAGATCTCAAACGCGTTTATCTAATATCGCATTGTCCTCCTTTCTTCTTATTTTCTACATATCAAAGAGAAAGATGCTTTGCTGAATCTTTCCTTTTCGTCTTTTCATAGTATTATATAAATATGTAGTATCGTACGAACGAGTATAATAAGAAGATGAAAGGATAAAAAGATAGCGCGAAAGATAGAAGTATTCGGTAGGTTCGTTTTCGTTTTCCGATCAAAGTCAATATCAATCGTGACTTATTTCTGAATATATTCTTAAAGCTATGCTATACCCCTACGCATTCCAGCATATATAGCATAACGTATAGCATGCACGTCAGGAGGCGTAAGATCGAAAATGTGGCTGATGATCGTTGGTCGCGTGTGCGTTTTGTCACGAATGAAATTTCAGACAGAGACGTACCTACACGAAAAGATTATCGTCCGATTGAAAAGATGAAAATATCTTTAAATGGACATTACTCGGCGAAAGTTCAATGTCGCTGTGCAGACGTGCATCGGTTAGGTCGTTTCACTCGTTCGTTTCTAAACATTATGCAAACTGGAAAGTGCAACAGCTTTATAAGGATTAGCGTCTACTCAAGGCAATATAAAAAAGAAGAAAAGGAAGAATGGCGTTTCTATTTAAGGTACGTTCGTGGCCGGCTTTTTTGCGAGGAAATGGGACGATCGATCGGAAGAAGAGAGGAGGCACGAAGGTAACCAAGGGGCAAGGGCATCCTTTTTAGTAGGTCAAAATTTCCAGCGAAAAACGTTGTCGCGTAGACCATCGGAAATGCTGGAGTGGGTACTCCTTAGGACCCTTCGCCACGAGTGGATGGAAAAACAGAAAAGTGCTGATGCAGAAACGCAGACGAGACAACACCGAGGGCTGCTGGCTAACCGTTTCGTCTACCGCTGCCAGCTGCGACTTCCTTCAATCGGATACAACTATTTTGACAGATTCCCTAGCACGCTGTTAATTCAACAACAACTGTAGACCGTTCTTCCTGCTTTATTCTTTTTACTCTTTATTTCGACAAGAGGCAATTTACAAGATCAGCGAGGAAGAGGGAAAGAGGATGGCGATATCCCTACTTTATATAATTTAGTCTCTCCTACCTATTATATTAATTAGTACCATTATTGGCTTTCATTCGTAATATATATTTGTTTACGTAATGAGCATTTGTATGAGCACTTTATATTTGTTATGCATTATCATTGAAGTAACCACTCGTAACGCCTTCACGCATTAATCGGTCCTTTTCTGTAGTCATGAAAAATGAACAGCGAGAAATAGAAGATTGCAAAATTAATTCAATTAGTACAAAGGTATCTTGCTGTTAATCGAACCGTTCTTAATACCGAATGAAAAAATTAAATAACGGCAGTGCGGCTCAAATGGTAATATTAAAGTTAGAAGCAGAAGTGGCCGTGATAAAAGGTACTTTAAAATCCACTAAATACGACCTTATATACGCCGTTCCACTTAGCATTACATTGAAATCGGTTAAACCTGCTTATGTTATGCACCTAAGTCTTGTACAAGGTTTTCCCTCTTCGCTTTTTTCTCATTATTATTTTTCTTTTAACTCGACAGAAGATATCGCTTTTCTTTTTATTCTAAGCTCAACTTTAGGATCTTGGTAATTTTGAATAACGTCATTTCCTCATTTGGATCACACATTGAATTTGAATCTGGTAAATAGCGTACCTCGCTATCTCTCGAAAATTTCATCAAACATTGGATTCCACAAGTTCCAAGGCTAATGTAACTGGCTATTGACGGAAAAGATTATTCATTTCGTGATACGTCATAAAGGAAAGCTATTTTACATTCTGTTAATGTACGCGTATAATCCGAGGAGAGTGAAATGAGTAATGATTATTCAAATAAAGGTAACATTTGGAAAAAATTATATATGGCTTGCATTAAGTAGATTTGATACGAGACGAATCAACGATAACGTTAAATTTCGAAAAGAGGACATCTTTTTACTTCCGTTTTTTTCTATCGCTCAATAAAATATTAACGGATTGGAAATGTTGGACCAAGCTCTTATTTAATAGTTTCCCAGGAATCCTTGGAAATTGGAAATTAATTTGGTGCGTGCGTGCGTGCGTGCGTGCGTGCGTGCGTGCGTACGCGCGTGCTCATTGAAATTTGCAACAGCGGTATTGAATGTGTTCACGGCGTTCCTAATTAGCGTAAGATGCAAATTAAATGGTCGATCCGAAAGATAGGATTTTTCGAAGAAATACAATGACAAATAATTGATCTGACGACTATAGGAAAATGTCTCGACTAACGTCATGACGAATTTCACATCTCGGAAAACGTTTAGCTCGAGGATGAAACAATGCCAATTGGCGCGTTGTCGACGTGATTCGACTAGCTGTCAGTTGGTAAGTCTAAGAGTATTTGTCCGTTGACAAGGATGAGATAGATGATGTTTCTTGTATAAGTGTATGCGCTTACCGTCAAAAGGAAGGAGGGAATCGGAAGCTTTGACGCGAGTTAACAATGCATCTCGCTTCCACCTACGAGATTGCTTTCTCTATAACGCTTAGGACTCTCTAATACGTCTATTTTACGCTCGTAGAATATGCCATGTCGGAAGAGAATTCTTCGAAGGAGAAGTCGTTTATTCGAGCCTCGCATAGGATATTTAGAATATTTGCGATCCCATGAAAGGGTATACGTACGATGCCTCGAGTACCAAACTTGATCACATTTCAAATGAAAGAACCTGAATATCAAGACGCGAACGTTGAAGTTTTTCCTCAAAGAATTTTGAGTTAGCGTCTAATTAATTGACACCGAAAGTTTAATGAAACACAATATTGATTTTAATTGCATCAAAGGCAATCGTTACATTAATGTAACGTCGTTGTTTGGTCAATTGATATGCGTCGATCAATAGAAACCCACGAGGATACATATCTTTGCAAACCGAAATAAATAGGAGAAACAATCTACGGCAAATCTAAACACGGAAAAGCAAACGTAAAAGGTAAAAAAGAGGAGACGGAAAGAAAGATAGATAAAGAGAGAGAGCGAGAGAGAGAGAGAGAGAGAGAGAGAGAGAGAGAGAGAGAGAGAGAGAGAGAGAGAGAGAGGTAAAGAAATTGCAATCAACCACCGGCTGAAAACCTTGGGAAAATACGAAAAACAAATTTAACTGCGCTGAGAGAGAGTCGTGGAGCATTGAACGCCAAAGGGAAAATGGATAGATTCAAACGAGACAAAGAAAAGACGAGGATGAAAAAGGGATAATACACGTAGAATAGGGGAATATAAAGCTAATACGTAAAGAAAAGAAGAAAAGAGTCTAAAAACTAGATGGAGTAGCAGTAGGGATAAGGAAAGCTAAAGTACTGTAAATGAGCTTGTCTAACAAATTTGCAGCGATTCATGTAATATAAGCAACATAAATTAGGTACCATTCAACGCGTTAATCCTAGATCTATCGATCGAGAAAATTCATCAAAATGAAAAGCTTTTTGCCCGAGTTGAATTTTCAAACGCGCGTCGCGTGTATCGTAATAATATTTTTCTGAACGTAATTTAAGACAAAATTAAACTATAATGTTTTTAACCACTCGATGAAAACTTCTGGTACGTTATATAAGCTGTCCTTTATACCCTCCTTAATTATTATTTGTTGACGTACCTACAGGTATTCGTCGGTAAACTTTCTCACGTATCAAAACGCCGTTACTTTCGAAAATGGGTTAATACCTAGAAAATTAAGTTTGCATAGTCTCTACGATGCAGCGAAATTATAATATTGATATTAGAGAAAATGTTCGTAATGATAATCGCGCGAGGTATTGCAAATCAGCATCTATCGGTATCGCAAATATTAAGGTCATGGCGTCGCATAGAATAACGCTTTCCAATATTACCATAATATGTTTCTCCAATTAATACGGTTATGAATTGACAAACTTATTAGTAATGCAATACATACTAAAATAATACCCATGTAATACGGTTAATATTTCGTGGCGATGAGATTGTCGTAAAACAATAAGCAAATTCATAAAACGATACGATGACATTTCATTGTTTGTCGTACAAAAATGTCTACGTCTATTCCAATATTACTATAATAATTGTGAACAAAATAATAAAAAATGTAATTTAACAGAATGGAGAAAGCACGATATTGTTCATTTTAATTCTACTTTAATTCTTGAAAAATTCAAAAGGTACGAGCAAAGTTTTTCGTTTGCACGCGGAGCAGACAAAAGCGTTCGGGGATCAAAGTTACTTACATAGATACACTTCATCGAAAATCGACCAAAGATATCGTACGATCGATAAAACAGTACAATTTTCAAACTCGCACACGTACATCCCGACGATGATGCTATTCTTTAACGTATGAAAGATTCGGCTGCTTCTTTGTTTCATTTCAAATGAATGCTTTTCCTACGGTAATATATACCTACATATATATAATTATAATATGGTATGTTATTTTTCGGCAAACAAACGGCATTTTTTTGCAAACAAGCACGGAGCTCGTTTTATTCTTTTCGAAGAATAGCAAGATTCCCTTGACGCGTACTTAATTAGTAGAAAACATTGTGCAGGTACACATATTCTCAATGAAAAAAGAAAAAAAAAGAACGGTAAAGAGGGCTGCGTGGTATAAGCGCGCACATAAGTATTGTACAGAAATATAAGTTTTTCTACCTTGAACCATATTTTCTCGAATGATAGATTGCAAACACCGTCTTTCGTGGTCGAGCGATTAAATGCGGAAGAACGATTTCAATTTCGATGATCAGGGAATACGGAGAAAGAGGGTGGGAGAAGGTTTGCATCATATATTATCGAGAGTATTCCTCTATCTTAGAAATTTGGATTTTTCAGCTTTAAAAATTCAACCAAGAAGATGGTCGACGATGAAAAGATCGGCTTACCCGACGATCTAAAATTCATCTTTCGATCTTTCGATTTTTGATTATATTTTAGATCTTTTAGAACGAAAGCAGTATTGTATCTATATGGAAAATGATGTTTTTATCGGATAAAAGAGACAAAAGCAACAAGGCTAATTAGAAAAAGAATGATATAACACAATGGCTCGAATTTAGAGTCGAATCGGAAACCTTTTCCGCGGCTTTAACTCTAAATACTAACTTTCGATGCTTTTCCCTAGTTTATTTCGTAAATTAGGTTGAAAATCAGGCTTCTCTTCGGTACTTTACGCCTTACGAGATTGGATAAGCACGCTTCGCTAGCGTAATTGATTTCCCATATCAGCCGAGAGGAATTTTCAAAAAGAATAAGTAATATGCAACAGCTAATAAATTCAAATAGAAAAATAATATTAACTTGCTATAGGTCAAGTAAGATTTTCATGTGTCGTAATGATTTGAAATATTTCTATTAAGGAGCACTTAGAGAAACTCACCGAGCGATCCTCCGTCCAAATTGTTTTTCTCGAAGGAAAAAGAGAAATTTTCAAGTCTCACGATGACCCGGCAAGGAGCGACGGGTACCTTGACGGTAAGACGATACGATCAACATTTTTGAACGATTATCAAAAGAGACGTGAATGGACGAAGAGTGTGTGAGAGAGGGAGAGGGAGAGGGAGAGAGAGAAAACGCGTGAGAGATAAAGTTAATGACAAAGATTAATGGATAGAAATAAGAAGAGAGAAAGAGACAGATAAAAAAATATAAATATAGATGGTAACGCGTCAATGTACGCGCGCAAACTGTTCTCGAGGTTCGTCAGGCGCGCATTCCGCCCCGAGTTGAATTCTCCCTCCATCTCTAGTCCTCGATTACCCTTTTGCGATTGGTCTTCCATTATCGAAACTTTCGATGATCCAAGCGTCATTTATTTTCTCTTTTTACGTATTCCAGAAAATAGCTAAGAGGAACACACCTCTTTTCCTCGCATCTAGTTATTTGTTCGGTTTCGGTTTATCGCTTTCTTGCTTATTAATTTGAAAAATATTCTCTATTGGATGTATCGATAAACAAGTAATAAAAGTAAAGTGTTTAGGGACAAGATGGGTATTGTTTACGCGCTATCGCAGTTTCATTTTTGTGATCCATCATAAAAAAAATACTTTTCAAACGTTAACAAATACTTACGATTTGCTCTAATTCAATTTCAACTTTCAACAATCTTCTTATCGAGGAAAGTTGCGTAAAATTGTATATAAGAACATTTCGATGAAATCCTCAGACGAGGACGTTAAATTCATTAAACGATTGCTTTCCAATTAATCACATAACGCGCGATACTCCTCCACCCACAATACTTGTTTTTTTCTTCTTTCTATAGAAATGATGTACATTGTCAAAGAGAAAAACTTAAAACGATTGGGTCTTCATTAAAATTGTACGTTCATTGAGGTTTTTATTAAAATTCGTTGTATCTCGTAAAATTGATAAACGGTATTCGTTTGTTAATCGTATCGTAGAACGTGCATACGTATCAACTTGGCGGCTTACGTAAAAGGCTATAATAGCTAATTAATTTATCGTTCCAACGACGATAAAGCGAACACGAACTGGTGGAATGATTTATTACAAGGAAGCTTCTCTACGGAAGGAAGGAGATACAGGGTGGAAGGAGGTATCCCCTTTTTACGTAAGCCGAACAAGGGTTTGCGATTCACGCGTACTTTCTCGAGTCACGTGAAAGCAGACCCACGCGTTTGAAAAGCCCGCGCTGCCTCCTATCGATGATCCGCCTTACGTAACCAAGTGGGAACGAAATGAAAATAAATACCATAAACCAATATTAAAACATTATTCAACGAACGTATTGAAATTATCTACATTTTCTTTAATAATTCTACATTTACGAATATCAAGTATTTTAACCGCGTTTACAAATTTTGCACATGCGTGCAAATATTTACGATCTAGAAAATGAAATTTTTATAGAATATTTTCAAATTTCGGACTTACATTTGTCCAAACATATTATATATATATATCAAAATTATAATTTTAATTGATCTATACAAACCTTTGAGAATAATGAAGATGATTTTATTCGAAAATAAAATGTATAACTTAAACAAAACGCCTGACACTGTGTTAGCAATGCACATTTAACAATTACATTAAAGTTATAATATAATATATACATTGCTGACAACCTAACCAAAGAAAATCAAGATTATGAATTGTTTATTTGTGTGTCATTATAGAACTTGGCTCTGTGTTCATTTCAACGAACTCGTAGGTCCGAGAGAGAGAGAGAGAGAGAGAGAGAGAGAGAGAGAGAGAGAGAGAGCGAGCGCAAATTAATTTCAAAGACTGCTTACAAAGTTTTTTTTATTTTATTTACGTGATTATTAAACTGTTCCTGAAGGATTAACAATTCGAACGGAAAATCGGTTACGTACGTTATGAACGATTCAAATTATCGACGTTGGGAAGCAAGCAACGTTGTCCGCTATTGAATAGACAGTTGAATACCGACCAGCGTTAAAATATTATTCTTCATTTTATCGCTCCTCGAAAGTTTATTCATTTTCATTATTTCATTACTTGACTAGATCGTATCTATAGATATTTGATTACGCCAAAACGTATTTAGTGAAAAAGTTGTCAAGTATGTACGCCTTCATTCGAAAATGAAATGAGAAGGCCTCTTTTTTTATAACAATTTACGTTCTTCCAATATAAATTTTCATATTACAATTATTTATATTTCCATAGAAATGTTGTGTCGCGAAGGAAAGCTGAGTTTATCCTGCTTTAGTGCGGCTCTTATTATTGCACTCTTACCAGAATTAGTTTTTAGGTTAGAATTGGATAATAATAGCAAATATTTGCAAAATATCTGGCTTACATATTTTCTTCAATACAGTTTTTGCAATTTCCTTCTACCCTTTCTCTTTTGTGGATTCGAATATCAGGTATTAAGTATTTCCAATGTTATGTGATATATTGAATATTTCAATCTCTAAACACTTATATAATTGATTTGTCTTTCTTCTTTTTTAGGTTGCATTGAGATCCACGTTTTTAGGATATGTCGTGGGTGTTGGAATAACGATATTTTCTATTGCTTCGCCTTCATGGCAAATGTTTGGTGCTTATATGACAATGTTAGCTATATTCCATTATAGCGAATTTTTGTCCATAGCATGGGCAAATCCGTCGTCTTTATCTATAGATAGTTTTGTTCTCAATCACAGTATTGCTTATGGCATAGCTGCCTCTTTTAGTTGGATAGAATATGTTTTGGAAAGACAGTTATACCCACAAATGAAAATGGCCTCTTTTATTTCTTATTTCGGCTTAATATTATCCATTTTGGGAGAAGTATTAAGAAAAACTGCTATATTTACAGCAAAAAATAATTTTAATCATCTTGTACAAAGCGAAAAAAAGAAGGATCATGTACTCATAACGCATGGTATTTATGCAATATTTAGACATCCAAGTTACGTCGGTTGGTTTTATTGGGCCATTGGAACTCAGGTATAATATACCCTGTTTTAAATGAGTATTGCATCGTATACACATATTAATGAAAATATTTTAATAATCTATTTGAAATTTTCTTACGCAGTTAATACTACAAAATCCACTTAGCCTTTTGGTGTACGTTATTTCTTCCTGGAGATTTTTCCACGATCGTATTCTTATAGAAGAATTAATGCTATGGAACTTTTTTGGCGATGCATACATCGAATACCAAAACAAAGTACCAACTGGATTGCCGTTTATATCTGGTAATAAAATTAAATCTACTTAGCAAGCTATAGATGTCTAGATTCAAATACCGTTATGTCCATTTTAAATTGATCTCATATGTCTTTCAATAAATTTAATTTTTGTCTATATTAAAGCACGATACCGTTACAAGTGCTTCTTTTTTTTGTAAATATGATGATACCGTTATACTGCGCTATATTTTAATACTAATATTATATTACCAATAACTAATACAATAGTAAAAAGCCAAATGAGTAGGAAGTTTGCTATTCGCAGAAATTTGTTACTTTGCGTTTTTATGAGGGCTTCTGCAAGTTCAAATTTTAATTTTAATATCAAATAACACGAGATTAAAGTAAACTGTTCTTTTTTACAAAAATTATATTTATTGTCTCATACATGTATATATATATATATATTTATTTTTTTCCTTTTTTTAGTATTATTTTTTAACAATGCAGGCTACACGTCTTAATCACTTTATGTACTTTCAGTTTATAACTTTACATTTGTAATACATTATGCAAGTCATATTAGCACTTGCATTGACATTAATAAGCATTTTCTCAGTGTTAAATTATGGCGGAAAATGTGTCAAATTGTAATTGCATGTTCAATTTTGTTTACATAAGTTTTTACGGTACATTAGTTATTTAATCAAAGTACTTTACGTTTAAAGATAACGAACAGCAATATCATACTTTTGTTTTGTATGAAATTTATATTCTAGCCTATTGTACAAAAATTCTCTTTTATTTACTATATATATTGAAATACATAATAGATAAAGAAACTAATGTACATATACAGAATTATGGAATAATAAAATAGATAATGTATCAGTTAACGCGAAACTAGGCAGAGAGAAAGATGAGATATTTCGCGGCCTATCTCTTTCCCAACACGATATTTGATTATTTATTTAGAATTATAGAATATATCTGCGTAAATCGTAAGAATATGTTATTAATTACAAGAGTAAATAATTAACTTTTATTTTTTGTATGCACACGTTGCAGTATATTCAATATCAATACAAGATTTGCAACACATTTTACTAGCACCCATTTGAACTATTATATTAAAGGTTCTAGAAGTAACTTGCTTTCGTCCGTTCTACGAAAACGCAACTATTCGAATTTCTTGATACAAGATAGTAAATTGTTTATTTAAATTTGATCTTTTCAAAAATCTTCTCGTCGCATTTAGTTTTTTAACAAAATTCGTTAACTTCATTGTATAACGTGTAATATTCATTTGCCAAAGTATGAAAGTAATCACAATTAAAAGAAATATTTATAAATAATTTTGCATTTTATTATTAATTTACTTCTTATTCGATCAAATCGAGATATATTTTACTTTAATTTTATAATATTACTAGTATTATTGTTAAGTTATATCCATACCATTGTTATATTATTACTATCATCGTTATCTGCAAGTGCAAGATTTACAAAAGTGTGTAAAAACGAATTTTTCTCACTACTCATTGCAAGGATTTTATATTATAATGTTTTGCCTAAAAAAATATATAGATTTGATCAGTATGTAATAAATCGCTTTGTAAGAAAACTTGATATACTCATTTTTTAAATATTTGCTTCAATGCTAAATGACGATAAAAATAAATTTTGCAAATTGTGACTTTGTTTATACAATCATTACAATTTTTTACGAGGCAAATCCACAGTTATCCACTGTTGCTATTATGGTTTTAAGAAATGATAGCTATGGCAGTGAAAAATTATATATTATTGTTATTTAACATTTTTTTTTCAATCACTATGGCAGCTGTAGAAATATATCTTAAATGTTAAATTAAAAATATTACATATATATATATATATATTATTAGGTAGCATAACTTAACATTAAAAAGCATAAAATAAGAAAGAAAAAATCTCTATATTAGGAACACGTATATTTTTTTAAACAAAAGCATGTCGAATATAAGTGTTCGGTTAATCTGAATAAAGTAAAAAACATGACGACATACCCGGGTGGAATCATTTTCATTACAAATAAAAAATAACTACTATATTAATGAAAATATTTCAGTAGTTATTAGTTTGCAATAACGTTATCGACCATAATTGTAAACAAAATATTTCAGCAAAAATCATAATTACTTTGTCTACTCCTGTTACGATTCTTACCATTGTCAATGAATGAGTGTAATCTTAATTAGATACTTTCATTAGTCCAAACCATTACAGGTTTGATATTAACATTTTTTTAAATCGAATATTCTAAATTTCTTGACATCAATTAATCATTTTTATCTTTTCTTAAGTAGAAAAATGTTTAAATTGCAATAATGCTATACGTTTTGCTGTTATATAAAATTTGCATATAATACCTAGTTTGACATCGTAAACAAATGTATAGTTTTTTGTCAAACAGAGTGTAATGAAGAACATTAAAACATTTGATAAAAGAACATCCGCTTTGAATATCGAAAGATGAATTTTGGTGGAAAATGAGATAGGATCGTATCATATATAGAGATCTCTTAATGTCTTCTTAGCAGATCACCATGCATAGAAATGTTGTCAACTGGATCACTGTGAAATAAGTATTTTTTGCTATTAAATACGTACACACTTCGATAAAAATATAATTATATTTTTGATAACATAATAAAGGGGAAAATAAAGCGAATATGGTTAGCATCTAATTGTGCCTATCTAATAATCGAACGTACCATGGTTCGGTCAAATTTGTCCAGATTGCGTTGATAAAGCATTAAATAATTAATAAATTTATTAATTATCGACACATTTCTTTCAAAATTACGGAAATACAAATATTACAAGCATTTATGCATTAGTACAAACTTGGAATATAAGTATACCGTATAAATTGTATAAATTGAAATATATTTGTCTACTTAAATTAATGAATTTTTGGCTATATTAATAGCACCTACGTAAAAAAGTGTATGAATAACGATGATATTTCTACTTTCTATTTTCATCGCAATCAGGTGTTGTAACACGATCATTAGTAAATAATTTTTAATATTACGTGTGGCTACATTTGCAGCAGGTTTAGGATGAATAATATTTACAGGAGGTGGGGGTACAAATGCGTCAAAAATATCTGCATCTGCGTCCGTAAATACCAACGAAGATGGAATCCATCTCACTCTATGCAGCGTGTAACGTTATTGGAAAAAGCTTGTATAATATTTCATCCATATATATATATATATATATCGTGTTTGGAATGTTACTTAATCTTAAAAAATATAATCCCCTCTTATAATAGACTATATAGAATACTCTTTCGTTCTTACCTGGTGCACGGAGAAACGTTTTTTCCTCTAATAGCTTTTTCTCCTATATCGATAGCTCCTGAGTCTTGTACTTCCAGAGTGTAAATACAACCGGAAAATCCTTCGTGGTAACGTCCGTATGTCATTGCATAATCAGGTACACCTCCTAAATACACGCTGCCTCTGGTATTCAAGATTTGTTGTAACCCGTCGCTCAGCCCGCTTTCCGTGTGTTCGCCGTTTAATTCGATGCTACCATCGCTACCTTGCCGTTTTAAAATGATCCTATGTCTTTCCCCGTCGTCGACTCTTTGAGCGGTTACGCGAATAACTGCTGGCCCTGATCCTAAATTGTATTGATATTCTACGTAACTGAAACGAAAGCGTATTATTCAAAGTATTGTAGTAGCATCGCGGTAGATAAAATCAGATGCACGGAAAATCGTATACACTTACCCATCGACAACTGCCAGAGATATATAGTCATCGGGATTGAAATCATTTGGCGTCTGCCCATGCCACATGATTAAACCATTAGTTTTATTCGTCGATATCTCGAAACCCAAAACTTCGCGTTCTTCTTCGTGCGTCATTACCGATCTTTCCAATTCTAACCAACCATCTCCTTTGAACGCGATGTCGTAAGTGATCTCTGCCACTGCATCGATAATAATAAAACGCTTAATAAATCTTTCCGTCCGCGAACATATCAATCGGTAAGGATAAAACGAATAGACTTACATTTTTCACAAGTTTGCCCATTAAAACCAAGCCTACAATCGCATTTGTAAGATCCAGGTAAATCGGTGCAAGTACCGCCGTTTCTACAAGGTATAAATACCTCGCATTGTTTCAATACTTTTTCGCAATTTCTTCCTGCATAACCATATTCGCACGTACAGGAATATTCGCGCAAACCTAAACTCTGACAATACCCGTGTATGCAAGGATTCGATGTGCACGGATCGTACAAAGTTGTTGGTGAATTTTTGGGTGGAAGGGTAACGAGCGTATTACGTGGAATCGTCTGATTCGGATGAAGCATAGAGCAATCTTCGATATTTGCCATATCCACCGCCGATTTTACAATCTCCAGGCTAACGGAAGCTACTTCAAGCTGTGTGTTACATAAGGGAATTAGACGGTTAGTGGCTAATATAAACTAACAACTAGGGCAACGATTACGGATCTAACTTAGCTCTTACTTACTTCGCTAATGCATCCACGAAAACTACGATCAACATTAAGATTTTTATTCAATGTTATTTTTCTACGATCAATGCCACCAATGTATAAGGGTGTATTCAGTGTCATGGTACGTGCGATACCAGGAGATCTTGCTTCTATAAATGGTTCTCCATTAACGGATAATTTTGCTTCTTTGAAGTCTCGATTTATCGTGACGTATGTCCATGTTCCAGGCTGTACGATGTAATTAGATTTTAACGTGGCCATACCCGAGCCAACGTCGTAGCAAAATTCAACGTGCTTGTCTTTTATTATAAGCGCTGCAAAATCTCCAACTCCTTCTTCGCTTTGAGAACAATATATCAAAATTCCATCTCCTTCGTCGGTGGGATTGAAGTTCATAGCTATTTTAAGCCTATAAGTGTAGACAATAAGTAAAAAATAATCGAGCTAACGTTTCATCGATGCAATTCATTCATTAGTTTGATGTTGTAAACATGTCGTTTAGTGCGCGACGCGTCAGGGTTTTCAAGTATGAATGAAACAGGAATGAAATAATGCAGCACGTTATTGCAAGATGCTATCAAGTAAGCCATGTGCGATATAGTTTTTCCAAAAGCAATCAAGAAGTCTAATCCCATATTCGCCAATTTCGCCTACGTGCTGCTTAAGCTTTACATTGCTTAAGCAATATGATAGGAAGAAAAAAAGCTCGATAAATATACGTTTCCTAAAACGAGTGGAATATCAAATGATAGAAATTAATAGTCGTACCAATATTTATTTGCCTTTATAATATTTATTTATACCTATTATGGGCATAGGTCTATACCCATTGAGTATATAGATGTTGATTCGTAGACGAAGCAACATATTTAACACGTTATAGAATCTTATATATATAAGTACAAACAATTGATATATTTTCACGTATATAGATATCATATATTTTTATGACATCGCTTATTGCCGATTCTTAAGCTTTGTTTCAAACTGTTAAATGCAATATATTTGGCAATGATTTAACGTCTTACTTCGAATAATTAATATAACTAAATGATGCGTAAGTGTATTAATTAAAAGCTGTACAAAACATTTATCGCTACATTAAAAATTGACTGAGAATGAGCTTCTATCATTACAGCAGCACCATTCGGGAGTTCGTTCCAAGAAACTACTTGCTCTACTATTCGGGCTTCTTGCAATTATCTCGCTAAAATCTTCTTCTCGTATAGAAAGTGCTACGACCCGTGCGCGAAATAAAAAAGAACAATGCCAGAATGTTTGTAAATAAAGAAAAAAAAAAAAAGGTCTTTATCCAAAGTTCACATATGTATATCTGAAATTCTTCCAGTAGCATAGGCATTTCATTTCCGCGTCTAACCAAAAATGCTACAAATTATAGTGACTCTATTATATTGAATAACTTTAAACGTGCACATAAATATCATGCCAAGTCTAATGTTTTGTGTGGTGCAGATTATTGTGGTGATGTGCCCTCGATCGCACATTGAGTTGTCTAGCTTGTACGTTGCGTGATCGACTGTGTGTAGTGGTCGAACTCTTTCTTTCCCTGAAAATAACGTCATCTCAATTAGCCTGATTGAGAATAATCGACAGCTAATGCTGCAAAATTAACAATACAAGGCCGGAATTGTTCTCATATGCGTCTACTTTCATTATCTGCATAGAAAAATTTGCTGCTCTATTATTATATGCGTATACGCATGTACGTTGCATATTAGTATAGTAGATGTATTATATGCGTGTATATTAAAAAGTAGGTCAGATGTTAATTAATTACCAAATGAGAAGAGTTTCAAATGCGTATATCCTTATGTTATTATAATATCGATTATTTTCTTACCGTCTCTCGTAAACGCGAATATAGTGTGTTAAATGTTTAGAAAGAGTGCATTAAAATCTTACAAAATATACAATACGACCACTACTTGCACACCGATGAAAACATTTCATTATAAGTGAGAAAAATATGAATATACAGTCCCATGCATCATGCTTTTTCAAAAACACGTATACATTCTATATGTACTTGCCTTCGAAGAGCCTTCGGCGGCGTATCGTGTGCAATGAAAGCTTTGTCATCGTTAAAAGCTGGTTCATTAATCTTTACCGATCGTTCGCAACGTGGACCAATTTTTCCATTGGGGCAGTAACAATCGAAACCAGTCTCCTTATCCATACACTTTCCTTCACCGCAGGCACCTGCAAATAATTCGATTCGCATGCGTATACATTTGTCACGTTCTATAAAATGAAAGATAGTTCGGGAAAGGAAGGGAAGAAACAAATGAAAATGTTGATTTTTACCTGGGTAGCAAGTTTCTCCAACAAAATCACAGTGTTTACCACTAAATCCAGCTTTGCATAGACACATGTAACCATTCTTTGTAGTTGCCTCCTGGCAAACTCCACCATTATTACATGGATTTTCGGCGCATGTTTCGCAAGTCGTTATTCCAACGTTACCCGTTTGATCTTCGATCAAATCTACTTCTTTTTCACCGATTACTAGTCTACTGATACAACCAATAAATCCATTGTTTGTAATATCCTCTTTGACGTCGATACTGTGATTTGGAACTCCACCGATATAAAGCGGTCCTTTAAGATCTAATCCTTGCTTTCGACCGCTCGCAACTCTTCTGTAAGATCCCTGACCATCGACTAGCATCGTTACTTCTCTTCTAACGCGTTGAATTTTGATCGTATGCCACTGACTCAGAGTAATTGGCGTATCTCCCGATATAACAGCTGATCCAGAACCAAAGTCAAATCTAACAGTTTAGAAAATAATTATTTTACATACAAAACTCGGATAATATGCGTATAAATATATAACAAAAAAATGATATGTACTTGAATTGTGGCAATCCTCCTACTAGGGATAGAAGAATGAAATCACCGCTACCGTTATTTAATTCTGCATTATATAGAATAATGCCGTCATAATTCTCTGGTTTAAAAGATATTTCAATATTGAACTTGAGATACGAATCGGGTAGTGGAGGCAAAGTTATATAACTTTCTGGTGCTTGACTAAAGTTTGGTACGACTCCCGTTACAACGAGCACAGTCGGTACTTCTATATTTACTAGATCATTGTTTGCTATACAAATGTATGTTCCTGCATCTTCGGCTTTAACGTTTCCCAGTTTTAATTTGTTCTATTTAGAATAGTAGAAAAGTAAACGTTTAGAATTTCCTAGAAAAATATGCTACAGTACAATTTTGTTATACCTGATATGTTTGTGCATTTTGAGATAAAAATCCACCAAGTTTGTTCCATTTGTACGTAATAGGTGGGTCAAGATGAACATGGCAATCCATTTCGATGCTGGATCCATAAGGTGCAGACTTAGTTTCGATTGCTGGTCCATCGTTATTTCCACCTAAAATAAAGATATTGAGAAAAATAATGATTTAATATTGGAATATTTTAGAAGGTCTATTCATTGTTCGCATATTTCTACTTACAAAAGATTCAACAGGTAGCATAAATAATACAGACGATAACAATTACATTTAGTGTCGTTAGATTAAATGAAATAAATCGATAAAATATATCGATAAAAAATATTTACCATGTACAATGAGATTGAAATCTTCCTCAAAGATGCCTTGCGGAGTCATTACTGTACATTTGTAAACGCCACTATCGCCAACAGCTACATTCGATAATCTAAGAATATTTCCATACGTTTGAGCGTTCAATGGTAAATCTGGATGATTTGGTCTGGACCATCGATAGCGCGGATTAGGAGTACCCGAGCACGCGCAACGTATATCGACCGTATCTCCGATATTTACAGGATCTTGAGATGCTTCGATGCTAAGCGCAGGTGTAACAGCAGCTGAAATTGAACAGTTACTATTATTAACTTCATATCATTTATTCTCTTTTGAAGTAAGCTTCACATCGTTGAAGAGTAAACACCTGAATATGGGCAGTTCTGGTCGCTTTATCATGTTTGTCTTAGCGCGACAAATATAACATATATTATTTACCATGCAAATAATATGCGCCAAAGTACGTCGCATTTTCTTTAATTGTAAGAAGTAAGGAAGGAAAAGGGAAAGAAGAGGAAATATGGTCCGTTATGTGGAAGACAAATCGGATACTACTATTGGATACTACTATTGGATACTACTACTGGATACTACTATTGCGGTCAACGTTGTCTTGCAACTTACGATCGAGAATCTAAATTATTAAGAATAAAAATAGGCAACAGAGAGACAAAGGATAATGGTAAAAAATATAAGACAAAAATTCTAATTTATATTACAAGACATCACACGAAACACAAATCTCAAAACAAACCGCGTAGTCTTCGAAGATATTGGCGATATTGCGGGATGCGGCAGAAGCGTTCGTCAGTACCGTCGTTGCATTGAGCATAGCCGTCGCAAAAGTAATCCAAAGGAATGCATTGTTGATTGTTGTAGCACTGATACTCCCCGGGTCTGCACTGCGTTTGGTATACTGGCATGCAATCCGCAAGCAAATTAACTACTAAATCATAACGCGAGCTTTGTCAAAACCTAGTCTGAAGAAGTCTTTCGTTGAAACCATAGTTGCAATCATATTTAATATAATCAATATTTTACTAGCGTTGTAATATATACCAGTTCTAATACGACAAGCTGCATGACAAACTTTCGACAAGAAAGAAATCTAAAGAATAATAGCGTTCTATTACGTAAGCAATTGTAATTATGCAAAAGAGAAAAATGTCGCACGCAGTATATGTTATTTTCGTTGAATGAATCATTTATGAAGAAATTTGCATTGTTTGTATAAAAATGTTCGGATAAAAAATAGCTGCGTTTTGGACGATACACGTGCTTCTTATTGAAAGATTACAAGAGGAAAATAAAGGTTACAACGTAATAAATTAATAAAATGAAAAAGAAAAAAAATCAATAGAAAAGCTATATGGCTGGAAAGAAAGAAAAAAGAGCAAAGTTTGTAGGAACAAAGTTTGTGTGTATCCTTCGAAAGGAATATTTAAGATCGATCTACGTCAGCAGTATTAAATAGTACTTGTTAATGATTGATTATTAATTTCGATAGTATTTCATTGAAATAGCAAGCACACGTATATATATTGATGTATTACTTACGTTGAACATTTAAATTAATGTAATCGCTGGAAACTCCATGAGAGTTACGAATTTTACAAATATATCTTCCGCTGTCTTCCGGTCTGACTTGCATTAATTCTAAATAATTTTCACCAATTCGACTGTGCGAAGGCAATAATTGGCCTTCTCTGGTCCATTCTATTACAGCACTCTCCCTGATGTCGCAACGCAAACGTACAGAATTACCTGAATACGTCGTAATGTCTCTTTGCGCGGCACGAATACTTGTGTCGTCGTAAGAATGTTCTGTTGAGAATAAAGATAAATCTGACGGATATAAGTAATAAATCGATGTGATATGAGTTGATTAAAAAGACAAACCGTTGACTATAACTTCCGCTACCGCTTCGGCCGTGCCTGCTTCGTTGCTGGCCTTGCAAACATACTTTCCTGCATCGGAATACGTTATACCGTGGAATTGCAACACCCCGATGTCATGAGACACGGAACGTGGAAGTGGTCGTCCTATAGCTTCCCATTGAATATGAAGAGGTTCGTCTCCAGTCGCGGTACAAGTTATAGAAGGATTTTTTCCAGGACCAACGGTTTGACGAGTCGGATTTAACTCGATTCTAGGCGGAGCTGCGAAGAAAATATGAAATTCTTGTAACGAACGTATCTCGCATCCATTTATACCTTTGGAAATACTTACATATTATTTCGAGATGAGATTTAGCTTTGAAAATAACTGTGCCAGCGGGATTTAAACCAAGACAGATGTATTCTCCTGCGGAATACTTGTCGACCACTGGTATGCTTAAAACGCCATTATGAACGGTACTACCCTTTGGCAAGGCACGATGATCGCTTCTCTTCCAGTCAAGATAAATCTGATCGCCATCGGGTGCAATTACTTGACAACGCATTTCTACTTTACCGCCATTGGGAATTCTGAGAAAATCTTCGGGAATTAATACGCCATTGGAATATCTCTGGAATAATAATAAAATTAGATGAATTTTGCAATGTGATCGTGAAAAAGGTAATCGTATTAAATAACATACGTTATCGTTATTCGTTTGACCAGTATTGCACGGCATATCGCCTCTACAAGGGATAGAATCAATGTCGTTGTCCTCGATGCGTATTAAAACACGATCCTCGACGATGCCAACCGAATTGGACGCTTGACAAGAGTAAGATCCTTCGTCGTCGGTAGAAACGGATAAAATTTCGTATACCGCGCTCAACGGGGTAGCAGCAGTTCTGCTATACGCGTCGCTGTAAATATAGATAAATTATCTCCTTGGAAAAGATGAAATTTCATTTGGGCAACTTACTACGTGGCCAATCCGTTGACGTGTTTACTCCAGGCAACATTTGGTTGTGGATGGCCTACAGCGCTGCAAGTTAATCGCACTTTATCTCCGAGTTTGACTTGCAAAATACCGGACCTTGGTTCGATCGTAATAACGGGTATGGACTGTACTTCGATATGAGCTATCGCAGACGTCGAGCCAACTTCATTCGTGGCCGAGCACACGTAAGAACCGCCATCGTTGATCGTAACGTTAGAGAACCTTAACAATCCACCAGGAAGTTGTTCGATATTTGGAGCAAATGGTCTACCGTCTTCGCGAGACCAACGGATCTCGGGAAGCGGAAGACCAGCGGTGGCGCGACATAGCAAATCGGTGGAGCCCCCGAGAGTGACGGGTTGAACATCTTTCGGGTACAGTTCCAGAACTGGGCTTTCACGAGCTGCGCATTCGATCAAAAGTATTAGGTTATACTTATTCGATTCGATAATATTGCTAAATTGGTGTCTTACGTTCAATTTCGACGATAGCACTAGCTTCGTAGCTGCCTATGGGACTACTGACTCGACAAATGTAAACGCCTCGATCGGAAACTTGTGCATTGATAATTCGCAGGGTATCGCCGACTTGTTGAACGTGCGGATTCATCGGTTCGGAAAATTTGCTCCATTTCACTTGTAGACCCGGTTCTCCGCTCGTAACGCAACGTATTTCGGTCGACGTTCCTTGAGAGATTATTTGTCTCTCGGGCTTGACTTTGACCGACGGTGGATCTCTTCGTGGAACGATCATTATTCTAGCGGTAGAATTAGTTTCCGTTCCTTTGTAACTGATGGCGATACAGACATATATACCGGAATCGTTAACCGTTGGATTATTGATCATCAGAATACCGTCGTGCTGAGTCGCGGAGTAAGGGAGAGATAAGCCATCGGATCGGATCCACGTTAGATTAGCATTCTGTGATGGAGTACAAGTTAGTCTAACGACATCTCCGCTATACCCAACCCATTCGGCGGGCGTTATAATAGGTGCCGAACCAGTAGCCGAAGGCCCTTCCGGATTCTCTGCGAATACGTACTCGTGTAACTCTACTATTCGATACCATTAATAACATTTATAATAGTATTCGTACCTCTAACGTAAAGAATCGTCGTTTGTTCGACTACTCCGACATTATTTCTAGCAATGCATTTATATTCGGCCGCGTCATTCCTCGAGGCAGCTGGGAGCCTCCAAACGCCATTACGGAACGAAGACTCGGAGCTTATGCTTCCATGTAGTCGAATCCATTCTACGTGCGGAGGAGGATTACCATTAGCCTCGCAATGGAATTCCACCGGTTCTCCTTCTTTAACTTCGAGGTATGGTGGCATAATGACGACTCGAGGTTTCACCGGATTTGCTCCTGAAATCGAATATGATATGGATCAACCAACTCATTTCGTCACTTCTTAATTCTACATCGCGCTACGAGAGTACGATTATAAAAGAGTACCTGGTATTTCTAACAAACTTTTTGGAAAAGCTGCGTCCGTAGGAAATATGACAATTTGTATATTATCTCTAGATTCATTTATATATATATATATTAATTAACATGAAAATCATTCATACCTCCCACTGTAAGAGTAACTTTCTTAATGCCAATATTTATTCCGTCGCTAACTTGACAAACGTATATACCGCTGTCGGACACTTTGACATCTCTAATGATTAAGACTCCGTGAGAATCGTCTACGCTCCTGCCAGATGGTAACTGACCACCTTCTTTCTCCCAACGAATATTCAAAGAACCCTGTGTAATATAAAACATAAAGAATAAGAAAAAGAGATTCGGAGAAAGGAACAATGCAATCGCATCGATTTACGCAATGATTATCAAGCTTACGTTGTCGAGCGATCTACCGCTGCAATGATATCTAACGGTATTTCCAGTATGAACAATTTGGAATTCTGGTTCTTGTACGAAAACAACGATTCTTGGTGGAGTAATCGTTGGCGTTGATGGACTTGTCGGAGGAGGATACTCGACTAAAAATCATTTCTATGAGTAATAAATCTGTTTGAAAAGGAATCATACTACTTACCAACATCTTGGCAATTTTCTCCCGTATATCCTGGTATGCAATTACACTTGACATGTCCAGACCTATTAATCTCGCAACTTTCTTCGTTGTTATTGCACGGACAGAGATTGCAAGAGCCAAGAACGCTGATGGCTCTATCACTGGTATCCCTATAGTATCCGCGAGCACAAATTTCGCAAGACGTACCAAGGTAACCAGGCGGACAACGACACGCTTCGACTTGAGTCGCTCTTTTGTGTCCAGTGAAATTTTCTACCGCTGTATCGAGACTAATATCGCTTATGTAAGTTGCCGTCATCCTATCGCTATGAGAAGCTCGTACTAGAATAGCTTCGATATTGGAAAGAACCGTCATCATATCCGTACGAGAAGCGCTACGTGGACCGGCAGTCGTCAAACGTTTCCATTCTGATTCTCTCAGTGGAACGGAGTAAGTCTAAACAAAAGTTTTCGTTTGTTCTCTCATATTTTTCATTTATCTCTCTCTCTCTCTTTCTATTCTCGCTATACGAACCAAAGGTATATCCGGCAAAACATCGGTTGGATTAGTCCAAAACAACGTGATGCCATTTCCGATGAGTAAAACGTCTTGATCTTTGTAGCTCTGCGCTCCAGGCTGTGCAGTGATATGCTGAGTCAAAATTAAATTACCCCCGTAGCTTTTGACTTGATTTCCGGTACAAGCGGATGGCAAAGACCAAAACAGTCTACGGCTACGATTATCGGGATAGCGATATCCAATTTCGTTCATGGCAACGTTCAAATCAAAGCCGTCGTCTATAACGTCTTGCCTAGTCCTAATTTGTTAAGGATTCATTTATCATCGAGTAAGAATGCTACTATAGACAGATTGACTTATAGGATTAGAGATAAGCTTACGCATCGGTAAGGGTAAATCCATGATGGGAATCATAAACCCATATTGGTATTTGCTGAACGTAGAGGGAACTTTCGTGACATTGCTTGGTCACGCCGCTGCAATAACATTCGTTACAGCCGTCCGTATTTTCAGTGGACAATCCAAAAGTACCCTGACGACATCTGTTGCATTCCGGTCCTTCGACGTTTCTCTTGCATTCGCAACGATTATTGTAACACGAGGCGCTACGAGATCCAGCTTGGTTGCATTGGCACGATGCCGGTTCATCCTCGCGTTCGCAATCGTTGGAAGTGCCACGAGTCGCGTCTCCTCTGTATCCAGGTTCGCATTTTTCGCAAAATTCTCCGGTAGTATGGTCGGCGCAATTCTTAAGAACGTAATAATGATACGATATTGGAATAATATATAATATTATTTTGATTAGTTATTATTACCTCGCACATTCCGGTTTCTGGATCGCACTGATTCGAGTGTCCGTTGCAATTACAAGGCTCGCAAATTCCAAGATATAATCCTTCCATGGCCCTCGTATATCCAACGTCGCAATCTTCGCACGAGAGTCCCTTGTATCCAACGGGACAACTGCATTCCTCGACTTCGACGGCTCTTGACTTTCCAGTGTTATGTTTCTCCGCCGTATCGAGGGAAACCGAAGAGAGCCTGAAAAGTCGCGTATATTGTGCTTCTTGCGTTGGGCTTGCGTTACAAAGAGTTCTCTACTTACGCCGCCTCGTCGGTGTGGGTCGTGTAAGTTGCTTTAATATTGATTGCTCGTACGTCCGCTAATGCCATTAAAAGATGTTCTCTGTCGGTTATGGTTCCGTCGGCACGTTGCCAATATTGTTCGAGCAACGGAACGGTGAACGATTGCTGGGAATTCGGTTCGGGGGATTTTCGCGAATAGTACAGCAATTTAATGTCGTTTGCCTGTTATCGAGATCGTGGTTAATATCGTCGTAAGATAAACTATACGTATATGGAAATACTTACGCTAATTAATTCAACGTCCGCAGCATTGTTTTTGGAACTTTGACCGCCCGGAGATGGGACGTACCGAACGGTATATTTAAGATTACCACCATACGACGTTATCTGATCGCCGAGGAAAATATTCGGTAATTGCCAATAATATACGTCATTACTACCACGATTATGAAAATCGCTGTAGACTATCTCGCGACTGATCGTATCGAGTCGAATACCGTTTACTATGGGAACGTCGGTTGTCTTAGATTCTATTAGACTAAATCCTCGTATGGAATTAGTAAACGACACGTGAATCTGAAAATAATAATAGTATTAAGAAAATAATCGAACCATAATCGATCGATAATCGTCATTTGAATTACCTCGTTTCTGTACCAGTTGGATGCAACACATTTATTCGTAGTACCCATGCAGAAACAACTTATGCATCCGAATTGATTCCTAGAGCCTAAGCTGAATGTATTTGCCTTGCATTGATCGCACGTTAGACCCGTTGCGTATTGCTAAACACGGTATATAATTAGTTAATACGGATGTATTAAGAAATGAACGCTTACAGGTGTTCATAAGACGTAAAGAAAAGAGAATCGAAAATAATTTAGGATGGCAAACTGATCAAGTACTCACGTAGTTCGTGTCGTTGACGAGGATCGAAAACGATCGAACGCATTAACATTAAATATCGAAGATGAATATCGAAGATGAATATCGAAGAAAGGGAGGATATTGTATAAGTGCGCTTAAAAACGGAAGGAAAAAAAGAAATAGATGGAATACCTTGCAACGACATTTTCCAGTATACGGATCGGCGTTCGGACTGATGCTACCGTCGGGATCGCATTGTTCGACGGGTACGCACATATCCCCAGGAATTAGAGGATTTCCTTGATAGCCAATGGCGCATTGTTCGCATCTTCGACCGACGTATCCGGCTGGACAATCGCACGTGGGCTCACCGTCCGATCCGAGATGACAATTTCGCGTAAATCTAAACAATCGTCGTTAGAAATCGTCGGACTGTCATCGACGCGAAATAAATATCTAGATATTCTTACTGGTTCGATGGATTGGTCAGCGGACATGGACAAAGCTGGCAAGGTATATTTCTCGAAGGATCTCCGTAGTATCCCGGGGCGCAGGGTGCCTCGTCTCGGTAACATTGTCCAAGCCATAGTCCGCTCTCGCGTCGAAGGTATCCTGGTGCACAGCTCTCGCAGGAAAGCCCGGTGTATCCTTAGAAAATGCGATTACGATTTTCATTTTGATTTTCATTTTGATTTTCATTTTGATTTTCATTTTGATTTTCATTTTGATTTTGTTCGCGCTTACAAATACGTACCGGTAGGACATTGACACTCTTCCACGTAATTCGCGGATCCCAATCCGGTATTGCGCGCGTCGGCGGTGTCCATGACGATGTTGGTGATACGCACGTCCAATTGCGGAGAATTTTCGTACTTTGCCCTGGACGACGAGAGGATAAAATGGCGATACACAAATAAATAGCCTACAAGGATGAACTAGTAGTACGTACTTGATAAGAATATTGTCGACGTTTGCTAGGGTCATCATTATTTCTTCTCTGGATGCCAGGAGCTCGCTGCTACCTTGACGCTTGTACCACTCGCCGTAGAAAAATCTGACGGATTCTTTCGTCTCGTAGTCGGGAGGGATATGTTTGCCCTTGTGGACGAGTATGTATTTGTTACCGCTAAGAATGACTGAAGGCGCATTGTTCGGTGCTCCGTTGCCATTGTAATGAATCGTATAAGTCAGATAACCACCGTAAGACTTTAATTGACTACCGTGATAATTCTCGGATAAAGCATAGTAGGGTATTTTGTAGCTACTCATTTCGCTGCTGTAGGATTCGATCAATTCAATGCCGTCTCGTCCGATGGGCCTAATCTCGGATATGTCGTCTTTGATATCGCCGTAAATGCGTATCTCCGATTCGGTTTGAATCGACAGAATCTTGTGACTTTCGAACGGAGGTGGGATCTGATAAGTGAACAAATTGGCGCTACGACACTCGGTGGCCACCCCGAAGCAAAAGCAAGATATGCACTCGTCGAGGGTACGCGCCTCGTTGTTGAACATTCCCTTGGGGCAAATGCCTTTCGGCTCTTTTACCACCAAAATAGCATCCGGTTGACCTATTACGAAGCCAGCTGGATTCAAAGCTTCGCAGGAGTAAGCGCCCGAGTCTTCTCGCTGTATATCGGGGCACGTTAATGTTCCGGTTCCGTTTACGGAAGTAGAAGTACATTTCGAGTGTACGTGTCCCCAGTTTAGTCGCCAAATTATCTCTGGAGTGGGTACACCGATAGCCGTACACGTGAGTACCATGAGACTACCTGGTTCAAGGACTACCATCGGCGGTGGTGGTTTGACGATGTAGACGGGAGCTGAAATTCGATATTCGAGAGACGAGGTTGTGCCGAGAGAAAGAACGAGGAACTACGAACAAAAGGATATCCCAACTCACAGCAGCCAAGCTCGTCGCTACCATCGAGACAATCCCGTTCTCTGTCGCAATGATAAATCTTTGGTATACATTGGTCGTAGGACGCACAAGAGAATTCGTTATAACGGCATGGCGAACCAGGTGGAGCCGGTGTACAATTTTCTTCGTCGCTGTTGTCGGCGCAATCCCTCTCGCCGTCGCAACGCCAAAGCTTGCTCACGCACTGCTTGTTGTTGCATCGAAATTCGTTGGGTTCGCATCCGTGTGGATCTGCAAAAACATTATTTATATATTAATTATAAAGATTAAGCGTGTACAGTGGTACGGCGGGTACGTACTGCATCTCATCTCGTCGGAGCCATCCGTGCAGTCGAATTTTCCGTCACAGACGTACGATTTAGGAATGCAATCTCCATTGCTGCAAGTTGCCTGATCGTATTGACAAACTTGTGGGGGCCTCGTTGCGGGTTCCTCGACTGCGGGCAATAATCGAATTCCTATTTATTCGTTCATTTTGTCCCCCCCCCCCCCCCCCGCAAGTTGTATTATAATATTTTTCATAGATACGTACACTTCTCAACGGTGAGATTTACGGTAAGCCGACTTCCTGGCGTGGATGGAGGATAGCCCACCGCTTCGCAAATGTAAGTTCCCGCATGATCGAGCTGAATGTTTGGTATTTCCAATCTACCATTTAGATCTCGACTGGCAGGCGGCAGAGGAAGATTATTATCGCGGAACCAGCGTACTCTTGCACGCAGAGGACCTTCGTCACGGCATTGGAAGACGACCTCGCGGCCTGTACGGTAATGCGAGGAGAGGTAATGCACGATGTGCGTTATTCAACAATCCTTTCCTAGTAGATCCTAGACGACTTTCGAGTCGAGGATTATGTTATTCCATAACGGCGACTCTCTTAACGCCCGATTTATAGTCGCGTTAGCTAAGACTAATATGCTAGTTTCATCGTGCAACGTGCAAATTTATCGCAGTTACGTTAACGCCAAGAGATTTTCATTAGTACGGAGTTAATGTTACGGACGAGTTGTTTTTCTCCAAGTATCAATAAATTGCATTATTCTTTTGCAAAATAATATCGAAAAATGATCTCGAGGATATTCATTTAGGACAATTCGACTGGGTGTTTAATACTTCCCATATGAAATCGTGGAATCGTGTGGGAGAGGGGAACCAGCGTAGAGGGTAATCATGCCAAGCGAAATTTCATGCACAAGTATTTTTCTCGTTCGAACACGGATTAGCGTGTTGATTCCGAGAAGACATATAAATGCGTCTTTTCATGTTTTTCGACGTGTAATAATAAAGGAGTAAGCTACTTTTTCAAATGCGTGAATTTATGCGCATCTTATGATTTATGAAAACGCATAATGTAAAACCAACGAGGCGATACGTCCTATATTAATAACACTTTTATCTCTGTAATGAAGAATGAAGATTATGCGAGCCCACAGCGTGTTTCTATTGCTTATTACTTTTTTTTAAATCTCTTACCTTGCTTCGCCGGGTCTGACCAAGGCAAGAAAAACACAAGAAACATGAATATTAATTAACTTTACTTTTCGATTGGCTGCTGGATGGTTACTATTTTAACCAATTAAACGATATCATTTTTCTACGATTGCGAATAATTATCGTTCGCGGTGTTCCGTGTCCAATTTAACGAAGAGAAAATAATGAAACATTTCATAGGGGTATACGTACTCTCTTTGATCACTTGCTCGCTCGGATAAGTTTTCAAGTTCAGGCCGCTCGATCCACCGGTTTGACCTGTAGGAAGGAGAGAAATGCACGCGTAAATAATAAAGTAGAAAGATGTTGTTACATAGATCTAGGTTGGTATTAAATTCCATCGAGCGTTACGTAAGTAAGTTAGTTGACCCGTCGCTGTTAATAATCTCCAAATCAGTTGTTTTTTTTTGTTTTTTTTTTTTTACAAAAATGCAATGAAAAGGCATTCGTTTAATCACGCTCGTTCATTCCTCTCGACGAGTTGTTTCAGGATATTGTAATAAGCATGCGAGTATTATTATCGTCCTTGTTATCTTGAAATATTAATTGTCGGCGTTGTTCGCCGATGCAGGAGTGAAATAAATGCAATGAGTAGTAGAGGGACCGTTGTTGCATTTGCCAACTCACTAAAATCGTAACTGCAGTCGAATTCGTCGGACATGTCCGTAGGACAGTCGAACCTTTTGTCGCATCGTCGTGACAACGGTATACACTGGCCGTTCTTGCATCTCCACTCGTATGGCTCGCATCTACTGTTATTTTTCTCGGTAAGCGTATAATTGGTGCAGCCGATCTCGTCGCTATCGTCGAGGAGACAATCGACTGATTGGTCGCAACGTTGGTAGAGGTAAATGCAACCACCTTTCTCGCATCTCCACTCGTCCGACGAACAGTCCTCGACGTAATCTTTGATTCGAGTAGATTAACGCGATTTCCTTATCGATCGATTTGCCCTCGTCGCCATCATTTGGAATAAGGGCTAAAAGTTCGTTTCTTAAAACTTGATTAATGTTTCTTACCGCAATTGTCTTCGTCGGTGGCATCTCTGCACTCGGGAATGCCGTTGCAAACGGAGGAGATGGGAACGCAGGCCTTATCCAAAACGCATTGGAATTGACCAGCAGGGCAACGACCTGGCATAGGATGACCACCCGGTCCCGGTTCGAGAGTTGTCTCTGACAAAAATAAGGAGAAAGTAGGCAAGAAGAAGATGGTTATCGGTAAGGATTCATTTATAATTACCACACTCGGCAGGTTCGTCCGAGCCGTCTTCGCAATCGATACGTCTGTCGCACTTTTGGTCGATTCTAATGCAATCGCCAGTTCTGCATTGGAATTGATCTTGTCCGCATCCTAAAATACAACATTTCGTTCGATCCTCTATAATTATCGATCGAAAAACGCATAAATGGTAAATGAAAAATATGATATCTTGATATTATACGGCGACGACGACGACGACGACGACGACGACAAACCAATTATTTGGATTACTTTCTAAACAGATATATCTAAAATAGAAAAATACGATGTGGCGAAGAAGATTTTATCGAGTATAACTTGCGAAGAGCTTACGTGAAAGAGAACGTACACTTAATTGAAAATACTTAAACAAAGCATACAGATTACAGAGAAAAAATGTTGCTAACTACTTAACGTAGTCTTATATAAATACTTAACGTCACATGGAAGAAATATAATACAAACTGACAAGAATTGAACTATTTTCTACGAACAAGTACCTACTTAAAAAGACAAAAGAAAGAAGAAAGACAATTAAAACGATTCATGGAAAAATTCCTTAGAATTGAAAAAGATACAGATTTAAAAAGAACACGCGTCTTTATTATTCGTAGACGGAGTTTTGCCATGAATCGATAAAATATCGATACGTCGGAGAGCGGAAAAATGATTTGAGATCTACAATATTTATCGTAAGCATGCTGCACCGACTAAATGCTCTACCTAAGAGAAAAAAAAAAGGAACGATCCAGTACTCGAATATCAGGCAGAAATGCACTACACTATTGGGGAAGGGTGCGTCCGATAACGAGATCGCAACGATTCGACGACTCGGCAAATATATTATTCAAATTTCTACTTAACAACCTACACACATCTTCTATCCAGCGTCTAACACAAACTGATAGGAAAGATGCAGCGTAGACCAAGAGAATCAATGAACGCGTCCACGAACGAAAGTGTGCGGAGGGGAAGGAAAAGGGTCAAGGGGAAAAAAGAAAATAATGGGATCGCGTATCGTCATAGATTATCAAGGTCTACGAATCAAGGTGATCTAACCGAAGCAGTATTGTTCGTCGGTAAAGTCGCGACAATCGTAGAAATGGTCGCAGTGATGAGTTTTGGGGATGCAAGTGCCGTCGGCACAAAGAAAATCGTCCGGAGCACAACTCCTCGGCGTGCTCAGATTAGTCGGCAACTCGGGAGCATTAGGATCCGTTTGTGGGGGAGGTACTCCCGCGGCGTTCTCCGGATGCTCATCTACGAGACCTAGAAGGAACCGAATCTGTTTCGCCTTTGTTTTCTTAGCCCTTTTCCCCCTTCCCAAAATATGGCCCTGAAACTAGTCGCGCGTCAGTTACGGCCATCCCCCCCTTTAATAAATGTCTACGTACTTTGGGATGTGGTCTGGGTCCCCGTGCGTCGAAACGCGATCTCTTCTCGGGGTGCAAAGTGATATGCGGTGATAGGAGAAATAATAATCCTGGTGATATGCGGTGCCAATTATATTTTCTACTTATTTCGCGCGTTCCTCGATCGCGAAATGATCGCTCGAACTACGTGCGAATCAACACTCTCCGTCTCTCGTTGTTAAAGCAAATCGTTTATCGTTACTCGTCCTCGAGTTTCTAACAGCCAAGCAAGTAAGAGCTAACGTCGGTTTGGCCATTATTTCCCGGCAAGTCGTTGCAACGTACTCACCCTGAGAGGGACAGTCGCGTTCGTCCGCCCCCCCTCGGCAATCGGGTCGACCATCGCAGACGTAAGCTCGGGGTATGCAAGTTCCGTCGGTGCAGGCAAATTCCTCGCCGCGACATTCCTCCCTGGAAGAGGAGCCCCCTTGGTTGGTCGCTTCGTCGGTTGCTGAAAGAGAAACGAACCCAAGTATTATTTTTAATACTCTTTCTCCTTAATATATATATATATGTAATATTGCGTCCTTACGGCAGTCGCGTTCGTCGCTGTGGTCCAGACAGTCGAAATTTTCGTCGCAGAAGAATCTCTCGTCGATGCACACGCCGTTGTCGCAAGGTCGCTTCCCAATCGGGCATTCTGCAAAACGTCAGAATTTCGACCGTTAAACGTCATCTTCGATCGATGCCACGAGGCACGACGATGCACGGTCCCACACCGCTCTCGACAATGAAATCATTCGCAAATAACAAATCATCCAAGGACTTTTCGTGCATCGTCGTCCTACGTACTCGCTATGCGATTAACGAAACGATAGAAAATCGCAGAACGATGTAACGTGCAAAATATCAGAGCAAGAGATAGAGAGACAGAGAAAATAAAGAGAAAAAGAGGGAGAAAAAGATAGTTAGACCGAAATAAGAATACGTATATATACATTAAGAAGACATAGTATAATGACTCGAAGTGCTCGATCGCTAAGAACTCGGGCGACCTGTAAGAAAATAGAAAAAGTCCAAAAACTAGAGAATATTGTATATATATATATATATATATAATCAACAGAGACAGAGATATAAAATAGATTAATATAATAGTTAGTATATCTAGATAAAGAGTAAAATAGCAATACGAGGAGATGGGAGAATAAAAGAAAAAAAAGAGAGGAAATGGCCGAGGTCAAAAACGAGGTCGCCGACGATGTCCGGCATTGGAGTTAATGCCAGTCAACGTCCGGCTAAAACGCAAACGGTCGATACACCGTCGAAATAAGATTAACGCTTTCCACCTGGCGCATATATGCGTGCTCGCGCGCGACTTTTTAAGCTTCTTAGCGATCTCCTTCCCTCCCCGAAACAAATAAGCGCGCGTTCGATCCAACTTTTGCATTATCTCCTTGTAAAGATACCGTAAAGAATACGAACGCGCGCTTGGAAACATCGGTTAATAATAAGAATTTCAAAAGTCCCAGATATAGAGAGTAATTCTTTGGCGACGTGCTGGCGTAAGAGACGAGCCGGTACGCTGCTGAGATTACATTACGTGATTCTACTGTGAGATCAAGAGCGGAGAAGAGGAGGTACGATAAAAAAAAAGAAAGAAAAAAAACTACAGAGACAAAAATATAAAAAAGCGAAGGAAGGATATACGACATAGGATAGATAGAAAGAGAGAGAGAGAGAGAGAGAGGAAAGAAAAGTGTAAGAGAGAAAAAAAGAATATAAGGATAAGTATATTACGTTGCGGAGAGATAGAGAGAAATATAATAGATAAAATTTCCGCGCTAGGACAATTCGTATCTCGTTTTTATCGAGGATCAAATAATTAAGCGCATATTTGTTGTTTCGTTCGTAAGGGATAAGAATTGTCCTATCGCTCGATATTCGATATAAATGCAGACACATCGTGACCGTACGGCAATTGATCTCATCGGAGCCGTCCAAGCAGTGCGATCGTCCATCGCAACGTTTCTTACTGTCGAGGCACAATCCGTCCTTGCATCGAAACTTTCCAGCCGGACATTCAGTGACTACAATAATTATTCAATCTAAGTTTATTATTATCGTGCATAGGCAACCGTTGTTAGTTCGTTCCAATTAGTTTTTTTTCTCCAAAGGTGCCAATAGGCTTTAATGCCTTTGGACCAATTCACAAATCTCTATATCTATGTTAGTAATATCGTATATACCTATACATGTCTTCTACACAATCAAGAAACACATTCACAAAAAGAGATTTACTTTTCGCCCGGCCTACGATAGAGAACATCTCTAATCTTAGTTAGAATAATAGGGCGAATCTTATTTGATAAAAATATATTTAAGTAGGAGAAAACATGCGTCGTAAGATACAATGTATGTGTAATAATTAGGTAACCCCTTTAAAATGATTCCAACGTGCGTTCATCTTTTATGCATAAACGTGCAATCCCAAACAATTCTTAATGACATCTTTACTCGTGTCTACTCTCCAAGTATCTCCTCGAGAATGCAGGGTGAACAAAAGGAAACGCATGCATCACCGCGCGTTTGAATATTACTTTTCGCTTTTCTCGAAGAAAATGAAAGATAAGATAAAGTGGGTTAATCAGGAGAACGTGCGATAAAGTGATATTACAGGCCTTTCATTGACCTTTCAAATTCTTATTCCGTATTCGGCTGGCGTACGACGCGAGCGAACGTGATTAGCTCTGTGTGGATGTGTGCTTGTGTGCTCTTGCAGTTTATGCAAGATTACGTAGTAGAGACAAAGTTGAACAAACGAACGAGCGAGCGAGCGAGCGAGCGAGCGAGCGAACGAACGAACGAACGAACGAACGAACGAAGATATATTTGTTTGGATTGATCGTTCTACTTATTAGGTACAACGTTCCGTGGCATAAAAGACAAGATGACTGTCGCGTCGATCAAGGATAACGAGGCTTTGAGAAATTGATAAAGCTTTCTCGATGGGATAAACACGTCCGTCCGTCCTATTTATTCGACCATTGACCCTTACAATTTTTCTACGCGTCAAAAAAATAACGATAAATATAGTATATAAAATATGAAAAATGTAGTGTGTAAATGTAGTGTGTAAATGTCGGTAGAGTAGCGACTTTGGGTATTCGCAGATAATTCATTCGCTGATAATTCCATTCGATGATAAACGTAATGTCGAATAAGTAATTACTTCCGATGGTTTGATACGACTCGAGATTTAAAAGCATAAAGTGTACTTTGTAATCCCTAGGAATGAATACGGTTTGACTTTGAAAACTGCGTTTAATAATCAATCTCGCGCGGTGTGAAAATGATGAAGATGAAGTAGATAGTTACCACATCCAGACTCGTCGGATCCATCGGCACAATTGCGTATCCCGTCGCATCTTTCGTTTTCTGGCAAGCACTCGCCACTGGCGCATTTCCACTCGGCAGGCGTGCAGATTCCTTTTATCAGACACAAGCCACGTACACACAAGCTTACGAATAAAGCTTTCTGAGATTATATCGTTCGATCGTAATCGGACAAATTGTGTGAGGAGCATGAAACGTATGTAAAGATAAAATAAAATGAAGGAATACCGGAAGAAAAGCTCTTACCGCAACCGCGCTCGTCGGTACCGTCGAGACAGTCGAAGATATTGTCACATTTACGTTTCAGAAGCACGCACTTGCCGTCGTCGCAGCGCATTTCACGATTAGGATCGCATTCCTTCGTTTTCTTGCTCGTCTCCCATCCTGGCCAGGTTCGGTCTGCTGACGGCACACCACCACACATACACACGTACCCAACGTATTCCGATGCGAAAAGAAAAGAAGCAAAGAAAGATAGGAAAGAAGCTATGCAAACAGTGACTATTGGATAGATATTTTTCAACGAGTGTCAAAGAGAAAGCCAAGACCATGAAGATTTGTGCAATTGGTCAATTTTCTACGAATTTCATCGTCGCGCGACCACCAAAAGAGTGCTTTTGTCTCTTACTCGTGTCTCCGCGACGACGATGATCATCGAAGAAAGGAAAAATAATGAAAAGCGACAAAGACACAGATAAAAAGGCGTACTCGTAGGCAGGCTGGTATGTTTAATCGTATCGTTAGCGCAGTCCTCGTCGCTGCGATCTGGACAATCCGGATGGCCGTCGCATCTGTAGATACCCTCGATGCACTTGTTCTCGGTGAGACATTTGAACTGCGTTGGCGTACATTCCTGGTCTGTGTTTGTTTGTCATATGAGCAAAGAACATAGACACAATAAATCAATCTTTTTTTTTCGCGTCGGACGACACGTGCGCGTAGTATATTGAAAAGGAACTCGATTCTACAAAGGAGAGAGAGTCTATTTGAGGGCACCTTACGGTAATAAGCGCTTATTCGATTCGACGGGTCGAAAAGACCCCGTTTAATTTCACGAAGCCGCACTTTTCTTTCGACTTCGCCAACAGAGGGAATAAAAAGCTACTAATTAACGATAAGGTGTGCCCTTTAAAAGTCGAGAAAATCGCTCGCAAAAAAGCCCCGAGGAATAAAATATTATCTCTCATCTTAAATCTTAACACGTATCGTAGAAGGAGTTAAGCGATAGATCGAGAAGCGTCGGTAACTCTTATTAGCGAAGCTTCATGAAAGGCACCAGCAGCGCCAGAGATCGTCCGATATAGAAATGTATTTACAAATGCATTTAGAAATATCTCTTCAACGCGCATTGTCTATTAGACGATTGTCTGCCGCTGCGACGAATATCATGAAAAGGGTAAATGGTTATGTACCGCAATTAAGCTCGTCTTCTGCCCTCGGGCAGTCGTCGAATCCGTTGCAGACCGTACTCTTCGGTATGCAAGAGCCATCGCCACAGGTGAAGTCCATGGAAGGGCAGGGGGCCAAACCTATTGGAGGCCGAAAACAAAAGAGCCCGTTTTTCACACGCGAAATCTCTCGACATTTTCCAACAAAATTCCCCTAGAAAAGGCTTACGAGCTACAATCAATTTTACAGGAAAGACACATTTAAAGCGATTTTAGCCACGACAAGCCACGACATGGCATTTATCGTAAACACACAAAGCTCGCGACGATTAACGTCGTCGCTTTTAAACGACATCTCGATCGGGGCAAATTCTCTTATGTTAATCGTATTATCAGAAATCTCTGCGCATCTAAACAACATGTCTTCTAACAACACATATAAAGCAATGTAAATAAGCTTATGATAGAGAGATATGTGTGTGAGTGTGTGGAGGGATGGAGGGGGAGGGTAGATCGAGTGTCATGTTTATGTACAGCCGAGTGCATCAGCGATGTGTCCTTTTTTCGATCATTTTTACCGATAAACTCCAACAAAAAGAGAGAAACAAATTGATGGCGTACCGACAATGGACAGACGATTTTCTAATTCCAAGGAAGCTCTTGTATTTTCTACAGCACCGAGAGAAGATAGAAAAAGTATAGGCGAAGAAAGAACGGACGAGGGACACCGTCTCTACCTTTTTCCACGAAATCACCGCAATCCTTTTCGTCGCTGCCATCGGGACAATCTTCGAATCCGTCGCATACGAGAAGCGCGTTTATGCATCTTCCGTTGCAAGAAAATCGAAAGAGATTGCAAGGCTTCGCGCTAGCTTCTTCGAATGTTTGTTTCACATTATTATAATAATCGCAGGCATTGATATCCTCGTCGGTGCCGTCGTGACAATCCAAAACGTCGTTGCAAACTTGTTCCTCCGAGATACATTTGTCCTTGTCGCAAAAGAACTCGTCGTCGTTGCATTTATCGATGTAATTCTCCTCATCGTCGTCCTCGTCTTCTTCGTCGTCCTCGTCTTCTTCGTCGTCCTCGTCTTCTTCGTCCTCCTCCTCCTCCTCCTCCTCCTCCTCCTTCTTCTCTTCCGTTATACTTTCTTTCGAATCGTAACGCGACGTCGTCCAACGTTCCTTACTACTTTCATTCGATTCCGAATTATTCTTCTCCGATTGAATTCTTCCCAAGGTCGAGGTCTCTTCGATATGGACTTTAGGTATGGTCTCGTTTGGGTAATCTTCGATGAAAAATTTGCCACGTTCCAAAGTATGCTCTTCGGAGTTAGTTTGATGGTGCGTTTCGTTCGTTTTCTCGTCATCGATCGCCGTCGTCGTCGCAGTCAGCCCTTGCGTCTCGTAGTCGTAACCCCCAGTCGACGAACTAAAAGTCGTCGAGTTGGAATTTTCCTCGGACGAGGTCTCGATCGAATCCTCCTCACTCGTAACGAAATATCCTTCCGTACTAGTTGAATAACCTTCCGAAAGTTCCCTGGTACTGCTCGAAAAATCAGCTTGATTATCCGTACGAACGGTAGTAGGAGAAATTCGGATATTTTCTGTCGAATATTCCGAATCATATGCTTCACTCGCATTAGAATTTTTCAATTTGCGATTTTTCAAGTCGGGAAAAGATCTTAATAACGACGAAAGGATTCTTTTTTTCTCCTCGTTTCGATCGTTTTCATGATATTTCCAATAATCGATCCATTGCTTGGCGAGTTTTCGAAAGATGGCAGCGCATCGACGATTATTCGACGTATCGTTCTTCGAAATATACCCGATACAAATTTGGAGAATCGAATGTTTCTCCTTAAAACTTATTTCGCTCTTTTCGGATTTTCTATTCTTGCTCGGTTGCTGTTCTTCCTTAGCGTTGAACAACTTTCTTACGATCGCTTCCAAGCGCATGGAATTAAAAATCTTTCGTCGGCGGTACTTCTCTACGATAGAACAATGAGAATCGAAGGTTTGATCAGGAAAAGAAAAAAGAATTGTCAAAGATGGATATGTAAAAGAAGTTTTAATCGAAGGGGAAATTTTGGTCGGCGGGTCCTTGTTGTCTGTGGTTGCGTTGTTAGGTGTAAAAGAAGGCATGTAGTAAGTATGTGATATGAATGGCATAATTACCGCAATCCCTCTCATCCGAGCCATCGGAACAGTCGTTCAGCCCGTTGCACTGCAACTCGTAGCCTATACATCGGCCGTCCGTGCACCGAAATGCTGCATCCCCGCAACCTGCTCCATACACACACTCAATCCGCGAAGCTTCTCTCCTCGTCAACCCTTTCTTTCTTATCCACCCTCAACCGCTTTAGCAAAGCTCTTACCGTCTTACCGTTTCCTCCTCGGCCTTCGCGATTAACTTAAACTTCGATTTCGCGAGAAAATACTTGTCCCGGATGGATGTTTGGTCGGCGTGAAAAATTCCATGATCGAATAATCTCAGGTCGAGCGCGAACGGATAAATTTAAGAGAAGCGACGTGAAAAATGAAAAGATCCGAGATATAACGCGAGTTGGAAGCAACGAGTTCCTGGAGCATATCGATTCCAAACATTTAACGCTTTAACTCGGAAACCTTGGCGATCGTAAAAATGGATTCATTCTAAAGAGGAGAGATCTTTAGATTGTTCAAAGTTTAACGATACGGAGGAACTCTATAAAAGTTAGCCTTTTAGATCTAAAGATATGCATGCCCTTAGAAGGATCGACGAGGAGGAACTTTTTAGGTAAGGGGTCATCGCGTATCGCAAGAAGCAAGGGGTTAATCGCATGTTCTTTTACAAGGGGACATCAATTGAGGAAAAATCGTTGGGGTGTCCCCTCGTCGTAAGGGGAAACGAAATACGACGACTCTCGATCGAACGAACTTCCCCATTTACCTATTATTAATCCATCCTTCGATTCTGTGTGCGTTAACATGAAATACACGAGCATGGAAGATCCAGAGACAAGGGGGAACGTCGCGCGCCATTATCTCTCGTATAAATAGAATTCTTAGCTAGAAATATTATTCGCTAATTGGAAAAAAAAAGCCGAAGCGTCCAGTTACTCACCGCATTGATTTTCGTCCTCGCCGTTGCGACAATCGTCCATGCCGTTGCATCTCTTGTCGATGCTCAAACAGGTACCGTCGGTGCAACGGAACTGATCGCTGCTGCAAGTCGTCACTGAGAACAATTCAAAAGGAGAGAAAAACGTAAGACCGGATAAATAGTACCATTCGAATAGTACCGCCGAGAGTAGCAAACAAAAAAGTCAAATAAATATGAATAATATACCAGTGCAATTATATTCGTCGGAACGATCGTCGCAGTCTAAGCGTCCGTTACATCTTGCCATCTTGTCAACGCACGTACCGCTGTCGCATTTGAATTCGTCCTCTCGGCATCTTGCTATACGCGGCCCGGGTGTACGCGGGGTTCGTGCATTGAAAAAATATAAGCGAAAAGAAAATATACATAAATAAAACGAAATGAAAAAATAAAGTAACAAAAATACGTTAAGAAAAACAGCGACAGGGTAGTTTTGGTGTTTACGGTGCGCGTTCGAAAGCCCCTCGATTCCGTGCGCACACCACTCGCACCCCATTCGCACGCCATTCGCACGCCATTCGCACGCCATTCGCACGCCATTCAAACACTATTTTGTCATCCGCGTTGTTGCAAAGTGAGGAGCTCGCCCCTACGAGCGGAGAAGATGCAACACCTCGTCATCGTGTTTCACCTTAATTAGGCTTCTCCGAGCGGAGTACCCAAGTAGTATAGTAAATAATATCTCATACTCGTATCGATACAATTCTCTTCGTCCTTTCCGTTGGAACAATCGGCGTATCCGTCGCAGCGACGAGATAGGGCCACGCAGTAACCGGCCGAGCACTCGAATTTGTCTTCTTTGCATGCTGTAAGAATCACGAATAAAGAGAAATCTCTGCGGAAATGCGAGACAATCTACTGCGAGACAACGGATTTTTTCCTTTAACGGGAAGCGTTGATATCTACGAGATGTGATGACACACTTAACAGAGAGGAAAACGATCCCAACGAAAAGACACATGTGTTACGAACGGGTAGAAAGCGAGTACACGTTAGGACACTTTGGCGAAAAGCGAAAAGAGAGAAATGTTGTATAAAGATTCGTTTTGCAACGTTGTCGTCGTCGCCGTCGAATTGTTAATAACGAAATGGGACGTAACGTGCACGCTCACGGTCGAGAAATATTTCTTCGTCACTGTCACGTATCACATTGCGTTTTAATTTACCGCGGGAGCTTTTTTGCGAAGCGTGAAATGCAGAAATCGATGGGCAAGTAGGGTTCTCGTCCGATGCTAGGAGAAGCTAGTAGACCTTTGCACCGCACGCTCAAAGACGCGTTAACGAAAAAACCGAGATAAATGGGGGAGGTAGTAAACCGCGGATAATACAATCGCAGTCGAATAGATTTGAATGCGAGCGGGAAATATATGACTCGACTCGATTGGTAGCGCTCATGCGTTGCCAATCGAGTTTTCATTTAAAACGATTTAAAACGATTTACCGTAGCCGCGTACGTACGTGCCTCTCCATTACGAGCCATGAATTTCAATGGTTTTTTGCGGTAGGCGCGAAACGCCTGAAAAAAAGAGCTCTACGTGTTATCCTTCTGTTTTCTCCTACGTTCCTCCTTACGCGCGTTTCCTCGCGCGTTTCCTCGCGCGTTTCCTCGCGCGAATCCGAATTGGATTAAACCGGTGGAAATGTGAAATTCCTGGACAGAGCTGATGGAAAGGGCCGAGCGCGTTCGGTCGGCGCGACCGCTGCAGATTAACGTCGGATTAAAATTGTGGCCGGTTATTAGGGCGGCTTAATAAACGGGAGTAAATCTCGTTCGGCAAGGGCCCGGACGGATTTGCCCGCGCTGAAAAAAAGGGGCTGCTGCTGCTGCTTTATCTTCCTCTTTTTCTCTTTATTTTCTACTTTTTTCGGCTTGTTTTTTTGTTCATTTTGTTTTGCACCGCGACTCCCGCCAATCATCGGCTGCGAAATTGCTAACGAACCATCGAATTAAAAATGGAAAAGGAAGAGAGAGAGAGAGAGAGAGAGAGAGAAAGAAATCCAAGTATTAACTCGCGTACGTTGCCTTTTGGAAATTGGATCGATGGGGCGAGGGAAAAGTTATTTCAAATCTTGCTAGGCGATTAGGCGTTCGAGAACGCGCGCGACCGGAAGCGGTCGGGTGCCTCGACAAAAGACGCCGGAAATAATAAAGAGGTGGATCGGCGGTGGCGGCACCGAAAGTGCAACGGCCTCGACCGGGGCCACCCTTCCTTCGCCTGCACGCCATCGCCATTGTCACAGCTATTAGAATTATTGAGCAGCTCATCGTAACCTTTCTCCGCCGCATGCGAACGATCGCTAAAAGTAATGCGTCGAGCTATCTACGCTTTCCGATTACAATTAAATACGAGTGCAAAGGGTTTATCTATAATTGCTATTCGCGATCCGATGGAAATTGAATAATTGATCATTGTAGGTACTAATCGACGTCGATGAATATCGACCGTTCGGCGCAACTTGACGCGAATCTTTATCGCGCGGGTTCGAGAGTAAAAATAAACTTCTCCTAGAGAGGCGAGAAACGAGATAAGGGAAAAACAAGAATATCGTTCCAACGACTGAAATATTCGAGAGTGGAAAAGTTAGCCATTAGCTCGAACAGGTTTTGAATTCTCTAATGAGAATATGTGTGGGACGGTGGACGCCGCGGCGCACTTAGATATTCTAGCTCACCCGCTAGACGACTAGACGCCGTTGTATTTTATAAGTCGGGCGAACAGCCAGCTTAGACGAATTACGCACAAACACGTACACAACGTATAAGCAGACAATTACTCCAGTTACGTGGATAAAATGTTTTGGTTTTTTTTTTTTAAATGGACAGAGCGTTGCCAAGCAACATTTTCCATACATAGAGAAATGTTTCGATTTTCAATCGGATGCTTGTGCTCGAATGATCGATACTCACGACAATCGTACTCGTCCGATCTGTCTCGACAATCCGGAACTCCGTCGCAATGCTTGCTTCCGTCGATGCACTCTTCGTTCTTGCATTTGAACTGGTTCGAGGTGCACGCTGAAAAAAAAAAACAAGAAATTATTTCGACGGAGCGTGTTTTAAGAGGCGTCGGATGCAATTTCAAAGGAAGCGACGATAGCAATTCGATGCTATCGCGCGCGCGCGCGCGCGCGAGAGAGAGAGAGATCCCTGCCTTCGCATTTTTTCGAAACGCGTTAAATATCGATACGTGCTTGTAAACACGGACATATCGAAGGATAACCAACCTAACCCGTAGACGATAAGATTGTTCGCGAAGGGCTCCGATTTCGCTGGTTCTCTCTCTGAACGTTCGTTCGTTCGGTCGGTCGATCGGTCGGTCGATCGGTCGGTCGGTCGGTCGTTCGTTCGTTTGAAAAGCATTCGAAGCTAAATGGTGTCCGACTCGGCTCTAAAGTTACGTTGTCATTTCAAACGCGAGAGCGATCGCGTCGCAAGGGATCGACTTTCGCTCGATCGACTATGTACGTTTATACGAGAGGGAGACCAAGTTTCGCTTTTACAACCTTTTCCTCTCGACTCTTCTTTCTTTGAATGAATTATCGGCGCGACCGTCCGTTCGACGGGAGGAATATATCGGATGGTGTTTGGCTGTTGCGGCTTTGCTTGTAAAAAAAAAAAAGTACAAAGGGGTGGGACGAAAGGGCGAGACAAAGCAGGCCAGAGGAGAGTTGCGGCTAGGTGCCTGACTGAAAGGTATGCTTTGACACGAGAAACTGCGACTCGATGACGCACTCGACGCGCCGAAATGCGCGTTTAAGGCCCCCCCAACTGGAAAATACCTCCATCCAGGTCCTATTTACAAAGAGGTAAAAGTCAATCGTCGAAACGACGGTTCTCCCTTTTCCGCTAACTTCTCGGCCTCGAGACCGAACTCTTCAAAGTCCATGTTTACGATATACATTTTGATGACTCTCATTTTTTTGATCTTTCTTCAAAGTTCCCACCAACTCGGCGAGATTGCATGCGCCTCGACAACGCCGTCGCGAAAGCCGAACTTTCGGAGTTGCCGGAAAACAATTTCTCGAGAGAGTTTACGCAATAGCAATTAGCTCGACTCGATTTATTTGCCGAGAAAAAGGATTGAAAAATCACGTAATCGGGATTTTTCTTCTTCTCGTTAGTTTGTTCGTTTCGCGGTGACGTTTTATCGAACGACCTTCCATAAAGTAGCCACATTGTGTCGCCCTAAGGATTTAATTGTGCTCGGTCTTGTTAGGCCGAAGAGGGCGACTGATGTTTCGGTTGGACTAATTTACTATTACTACTCGGAGATTCTGTGTCAAGGAGCGTGAAAGGCCGACTGGAGGATCCCTCTCCGTGTATCTCTACTTTTCAGAGGTATCGTAACGAGAACATTAATATCGCGAGCAACGGGCCGCGAGCGTTTACGAGGAAGGAAATACTTTTCTCAGCCGGCGTCGCAACGTGAATTTATTTCTCGGACACCGGACGATATCTTTTTCCTCGTTCAGTGGAATCTTTCTGCTTTTTATTTTCTCTCAACGCGCCACCTTTTTATCGGATTATCAATGTACCGTGCGGAGAGCTCTCGAAAAAGATTGCGAAGAACGGGAAGATAAACTCTTTGAGGTCCGCGCTAAGATTACATCGGACGTGCTTCTCGAATATTTTCATTTACCAGTCGTCGATTCGCAAAAACGTCACAAAATGCGACCTTTGACTCTCGCTACCGAACGATAAAAAGGTCTTTTACGATTCCATGGATCGCGGACGAAAAAGGCTTTTACGTGAGAATAGGTATTATACGGACAAAGAAGAGAAACGACGTTTCAATCCTAAAGATTATTATTCCATTCGTGATAATATCTTTCTTTCTTCTATATATATATATATATATAGAGAGAGAGAGAGAGAGAGAGAGAGAGTATCATCTCCATTTTGTTTTTATTCCGTTGTAATTCGACGATCGAAAAATATGTCTAGGTCTGTAAAAATGGGTGGAGGGAAGAAGGATGTCGCGATACTCCGAGTGCTCGAGTTACGAAAGATCGCGCGGGTGAGATACGCGCGCATATATCATGACGCGAAGAAAAACGCGGTACGCTATAAAGCTGAGGATATTAGCATGACAAGCAACGAGCATCAAATTGCTGGACCTAAAAGCTGCGCGTCGGTGGAAGCTCCCTCTACTAAATCGTCCGTACCGCTTCTAATGGACTACCGAGGGAAAAACTTTTGACCTCGCCGAGTTTTTCTTCGAAGAATATTAGTCGGTTTAAACGGCAAGCATCGCAAATTGGATGTTTAGAAATAATTTTCGACAACATGGAACAAGTTATGTAAGATCTTTCGATCGGATCTAAAATAAAATGCGAATTTAGCGAGGGAAAAGGACAGACGATCGAACGAGGCGCGCGGCGACACACGGTCAACGGAATTTCCGCCGAGCGATGCCGGAGCTTGGTTAACATTATTGTCACATAAATGGTGGTGGTAATCATTTTACAAAAATTAACATCGATTTTATAAGGAAATTTGCATGAAAAATCGTGGCCCGAAGCGCGCGCGCGCGCGCGCGCGACAAAGAGCTTTGCTTAACGACGATGCGACGACGCGTAGCTTAATAAAAAATCCATGGTAGCAAAGTAACGCGACCAAAGGAAAAAAAACATGACGATCGTCTTCCTCCGAAAATTTGTCATTTGCCCGCTCTCGATCCTATGCGCCAGGGATTCCTATTCGCTGGCCGATTTGCAATTTAAACGCTACAATTAAAGACGTCCCCTCGCGAGATATCGTCGCTTAAACGGAGAGACAAAAAAATACAACGGCGCACTCGAAGTGTAAAGAAAAAAGGAAAACAAGATAATAATTATTATCGTCCCAAGCGATGGATTTTCTCGTAGAATTTTGTCTCTAAAATACATTTCATTGAAAAACTTTCAAGACTCGATCGTATTTGCGAAGCTCGCAACACTCTCGTTTCGAAAGCTGTTGCTCTATGAAGGAAGAGAAAATAAAAAAATAAAAAGTTAAAAAAAATATATGGAAATACATGCATAACGGCATAGAATTAAACTGTACAATTTATGATCGACGCAACGCGGCGTCCTACGCGCGAACGTTCTCTCGTTGTTATTGTTCCAAGCTCGCGAAATATGCCAAACGTATTTTTCCCATATTTATAGTATTTTCGTTACATAGTAGATAATTTACGAATATCATCAAACGATACACCTATAGACGCGGACATTTTGAACGGCTCTTAACAAATATCATCCGACGCGAACGTTGGATTCTCTTTTTGTTTACTTTTCGCTCGCGATACGCAATCGTCGTAGTCGTAGTCGTATCGTGTTACGGTTATCGCATCGATTCTTCTTTCGGCTTAATCCTCAAATCGCCTAAATAAATTCGCTTAATCGACTCGCATTCTTTATCGATTATCGTCAAAGAAACGATTCCTATGTTTTACCTAACATATATGTCCCGACATAGTTATATGCACGCGGAGTTAATATAAAAAAGTAGATGGATAAAAATTTAACGACGCGGCGAAAGCTCGTGGATTTTAATCACTCTGGGCGCGCATATGCGTAACGAACGAGACAACTGCTAACGAAAAAAGAGAGTTGCGCGAAATATCGATAGCTCCGAGCGAATAGCGATAGAGATAAAACAAAGCGATCGCTTCGGGTGCGCGAGTGAGTGTGTGTGTGCGCGCGCGACTCTGCGTTGAGCGACTCTGCGTTGAGCGACTCTGTGTTGAGCGACTCTGTGCGTCCACCTGCTTAAGACGAATGACCGTAATTAAAGATCACGAGTATAATCGAAAAAAAAACGGGCCATCGATAGGGGAAACCAACAGCTAATGGATGGCTTCTCGGATTATCCGCTACTTTTTTTTTTCTCATTCGATTGCAGTATAACCTAATTATATTACGCAAAAATTCAATCTCGGGGATGAAGACGTTTCCAATGAAATAATGCGAGGAAATAAGAACGACGGGGCAAGAGGAACGTTATTCCGTGCCTTCCTTCCTTCCTTCCTCCCACGAAGCATTTCTCTCCTATCATCTTGCTCTTCTCTTCTCGATAAGATAATAAACTATGGCTCCAATTTCTCCAGTCAATGTTTCGTCTCACGGAGAAATACGAAAGAGAAGATAAAATATGAGAAAAAAGAAAATCCTTTTTTAAACTCGTTCGGTAGATTCGTACATTCGAGGATATCCTATTTTCGTTGGAATGCTTTGGAGAAAGAACTCGGAGCCCTTATCCCAAAGAGAAAGGCGAGAATGTGACGTTATTAAGGTGAATAACGCGTGCCCGCCGCCCTTCTGGATCATTCGATAGCAGTGTACTCTTCCGCTTCGCACCTAGGTGTACTTTACAGGAATGCGCAATTTGGCTCAACATGCTGCCGCCCCTTTTAGACGTATTTAACTTTGCAAAACGGTATATAGGAATGTGTCATGGTTGTTGATCTTTCCACTCGTTGCAATTTTTAAATGTCCAACGCAAATCCTATGTATATCCTATGACGTCACGGTTACATACCATGCATACGCGATACAACGAGCGTTTATTTTTTTAACCAATTCTTTCGAGCGAAGAGAGAGAGAGAGAAAGAGAGAGAGAGAGAGAGAGAGAGAGCGAGAGATTACTTTGATGCCATAGACGCTGCTAATGTATAATATGTACCTATGAATAATACAATCAAACTGAGGGATCGTATACGCGCGTAACAGAAGGATGAGCGCCTTGCGTTATTTATTCGACCTCGATGCACGGCCAGATATCATCCCTTCGAAAGCTTCTATTTCCAATTTTTCAACGAAAAGATATGATTTATCGGTCATCCAAAAGAACACGAGCGCGATCGTGAAACACTGAGAATCGAGTCGACGATTAAAATATAATAATGAGAATAATCTCCATTTCTAGCCGTTGAAAGTAACATCCGAGCGCAAAGATGCAACGATAGCATGATAACGTGATACTCTGTAGAAAATGCGAGTATAAGAGTACCTGGAACGTAGATAAAGTAGCCC